ATGCTAATTTCTTCTGATCGAGAGCCTCAAACAACAAATTATATTATATTAAATGTTACTGAAGCTTCTGTATAGGCAGCACATTTTATTCTTGATCAACAAATAACTTAATTGCAATAAATAAACAAATGTATTATTGTTTGCCTTTTCCACATTTCTCACGTATATTTTATAATCTCAATTTGCTTGTAATGGATATAATTTTGCTCGACATCTATTTCCTTATCACAGAGCTAACGGTCCAAATAAACTATAGGAACACTGCAGATGGTAACGTTATTTTAAATATGATTGTCAGCGTTGAGTCTAATGATGATATGACATATTTAAAGTGTCTCGCTGTATAAAACCATCCCAACTGTGAGTGACTGTGTAATACTGTATAATATATTTAATCCACTCTGTAAATGTTGGAAATGACTTGTATCAGAGACAATTAGCCAACTGATCGATTAGTCCAGTGGCTCCCTGTGTTTCTGACAATGAATAATATATATAGTCCTGAGTCCGAGGAGCTATACGACTCGTGTTACTGAGAATATTTAAAGACGTCACCACGGAGAAACTGGGAGGAACATTTTCTTAAAAGTTGACTCTCACATTTTTCTTTAAAGCACCTTTTAGTTTAGTTTATATTTACACTGTAAAAAAAGCTCAGTTTACAACTTAATACAACTACAAAAATAGTATGAATTTACATTTCCAATGTAAAATAATGTGAAAAATTCTAACTGTAAATAATCATAAAAATGTTTTTCCACATTAGAAAACAGATAAAATACATTTTCAATCTTTTTTTGCAGATATTTACTGTTTATTAATAGATTAAAGTGTTAAATACCGGTTTGATACAAAACTGTATTTTAATTATATAAAATAACTTTAAAGTCAAAGTGTTTTTTTAATTAATATTAACTCTGATCATGTGATTTGTATTATTTAAAGTGATGAGTTGGTCTGAAGTGATGATGAACTGCAGGAGTGTTGGAGGTGTTTTTCAGCTGCCTGCAACACAAAGCCTCGTCTCTATTGTAGCGGCGGCGGCGTTGGCGGCGGTGGGTTCAGCTGCTTTCTCTACAAACTGCTGACGCGTCTTTAACCGTCACACACCGATTGTGCCGACTCACTGCTTTACCGTACCGCTCACAATGAACTGTGTGTTTGAACTCTTTACATTCAGGTTCATCATCCGTCGACTCTTCCACCTGCAGAAATATCTGGAGGGTGAATTTAAACGATGAAACAACGAGAGAAATCTCTGCCAGCCTGTGGGTCTGTTGTTGAAGTAAGTGTATGTGACACATCTGCTTCCTCTGGGCCATCAGTGATACGTTATCGGCCCGTAATCATCATCATTTATTCAACCAGAAACATTTGTTTCTCTCTACGTCTCAGAAGTGTAAAAACTACAGGTTACAAACTTCTTATTAAAATACAAAAATGATAAATTATCCACATTGTTCATCCGTACAATCAGCGCCTGAAATGGACCAAAAGAGGTTCCAGTAATTCTGCTTTTTTAAATCCGTTTGAGGGCCAGCTGTTTGCTTTATTCCTGTTCTTCTGCCTCTGACATCTTTTTCTGACCGTCTCCCTCCTCAACCAACACAGCCAATCAGAGGCAGGAGAGGTTGTTTACGAGAACCGATACGTCTGTACCAAAGTTCGGAAATGTTGTCGTTACTGGTTCTTCTACAGTCTGGCAGCTGACGGGGGTTCAGTTCTTCCAGATGTGACGCGGGCAGCAAACACGCCGTAGTGTTTCCCTTTAATGACTTTATTAATTAATATTAGATAAGATAAGAATAAACAGACAAATAATTTTCACCCCTTCTTGTTTTTTCCTCAATAGATGTACAAACATTCCCATTTTGTTCATTATCATTAATCCTTTTTAAATGTATTTATGTTTTGTCCTCATTAATTAAATGAATTATAATATAATTATATATTTTTGGATCTGGCTGTCAGATCAACGGACCAGAACTCACCGGTGTAGTCGACCTCCACGTCGGCGAGGGCCTTCAGTGTGTTCTCGAAGGCGACGCTGTCCAGGTCCAGGGCTCCCACGACGTCGTACACCTTCTTGGTGTCGGCGATGAGCTCGTCGGAGAGCTGCCGGATCTGCTCCGGGGTCAGGTCCCAGCGCAGCCGGTTGTCAGAGCAGACCGGCACCGGGCTGCCAAACACCACCTCACCTGGAGGACGAGAGGCAAACGGGAGCCGGTGAGGAGAGGACGGGACGGGACGGGACATAAAAGTATCAGCGCTCGGTACCAAGCCCTCGCTGCGGTGGGTTTGTGTGACGGGGCGTCTCATCACCTCCTGCTGATGTGCATAAATCTGATCTAATCTCACACTTTATTCAGATTAAAGGTGTAAAAACAGGAAAACTCAATCTGATGTTTTTCTCTAAGAATGTTTCCAGAATCAAAGTTTTCAGTTTATTTTACGTTTTTTTTCTGTATTTTTTTAAATATATGTAAATATTAACAAAATTATAATATAAACTGAATTTACATGTCTAATGTCAAATAATGGGAAAAATCTGTAACTGTAAATAATCATAAAATTACTGCTTATTTAAAGAAAGTTCTTATTTTCACACAAAATGATTAAAATACATTCTGCAAATCTATAATTTATTTATTGTTATTTAATAGATTAAACTGTTAAATTAAAGTTTAATACTGTTAATATATTTATAAAATGATATAAAATCAGTGACATTAACAGTAAAAGTATTAGTTGTGTAACTTTAATGTATTAGTTAGTTAACTGACAGATATGTTGTATAATGATGGAAGTTGAATAAATGTTGTTTATCAGTGTATAAGGTAAACTGTCCAAATACAGTTGTTATCAGTGTAAACAGCAATAATTACTGTAATCTCACAGATAATGACTTTTATTACACTTCTAGAACTTCTCTAAGAGGAACCTGATATTTTCTCAGATTATCTATCAGGATAAAATGAGTTTCAGCAAATATAACAAAAATATTTTAATATAAATTACCTTCTGCAGCTTTAACATTTAATGCTGTGTGTCTACGAGGAGGAAGGGTTTTCCATTAATTGTTCCTTTTTATACATTTATGATGGAAAGTTATGAGACTGGCAACGTTTTAAAACAAATGATAGGCAGCAGGGATAAGTGTTGTTTGTCTGTCTATAAATAAATGTATAAAAAGGAACAATGAACCCAGTTAAAGCTGACTGCTGTCCAATAAACTCCCTTTATCCTGCTGATCACTCGTTATCTCCGTGTTTTGTTCCACTGGGATTAAAGAGTCTAAAGTAAAGTGGAGTTAGTGTTTGAGCCGAATTAAAGAACACAATATGAACTTTTAGAAAATGTATTCAGTTCTTTTTACTGCTGTAAGATATCCGACAGCTCTCCGCTTTAACTTTAAATAGACGGATTTCTAAACGGAGTTTGGTGCGCTGTTCCTGTTAATCTCAACCCACGCTGTCAATCAATGAGCTAACGGCTAACACATGCTACACACACCAGGAGCTTACAGTCCGAACCGCGGAGAACCGAGCCGCCATTACAGCGACCTGCTGTTAAACTGGAGATTAACGTTAATTATTATTATTATTATTATAATGACCGTGAAGAGTTTTAATCAACCGGCTCAGCTAGCGACCGTTAGCTGCCGTTAGCTGAAGCACAGTTACAGCCGGGAGCTAATGGATGCTAATGCTAACAGTCGGAGAGGAAACATTATCGATATAAAGAGTGATTATCGGAGCTGATCGGAGCTGATCGGTGCTCACCTGTCGGGCCCATAGCTCAGTTATCGATCAGTCGGTCGCTGCGGGTCACTGTCACACAGCTGCTGCTTCTTCTTCTCTGGGTTTAAAGGCGGACTGCGCTCTCCACCCGCCGCCGCCGCACAGCGCCACCTACCGGACCGGAGGCGACCGGACACACTGCAGCTCACTGCACCGGGAACACAACAAACACAAAAATAAATAAATAAAGTTTATTCTACTGAACAATCCGCTGTTTGTCACAAAGCTCTGAGCACGGTTACAAACAAAAACTACAACACAGAAAATAATTATAATAATACACTTCCGGGGTATTATTTCAAAATAAAACCCGAATAAAGTCAGAGGATTAAAGGAATAATCAGATTAAAATGTAAACAAAAGCAAAATAAGAATAAGAATTACAATGTTCAACCTTGTATCACTACACAAATTATTTCAAAATGAAGTTAGTTACTGAGTTGTTCACATTGTCTCATGCAGTTTAAGTTTGTATCCGTAACATTAATAAACACAGTAAACGTTTAAATTAGACACACCAGTCTTCTACTTCTTAGCTGTTATTATTACTATCAATATTCTTCTTATTATTATTTACAGTAGTAGTAGTGGTGGTATTTAGGGGTGAAAGGAAAATATTCTATCACAATATTTTGTTTTGTGCTATTATTCTATAGGAGTTCAACTTTAATACTATTAATACATTTCTAATATTATGTCAAATTGATGACAGTTAACAGTAAAAGCAGTATTTGTTGTGTAACTGTACATGGATTTGTTTGTTAATTGATAGATATCTTGTATAATTATAGAAGTTTTCACAGCACAAATATTAAATAAATGTTTTTTATTAGTGTTATTAGTAACATTGGTAAACTGTACAAATACATGCATACTGATTATTTGTATTATATCAGCGTTCACATTTATTTATAACTAATTTCATTGTTTTTACAGAGTAAATATCTTATAAAACATTAAAAAGACAAAAAGATTTTATGTAAAATTAAAGCTAAAAACTGTATTTTAATTAAATAAAAATGTGTCTGTTATTTTCTGTATTTTGACAGTTTTTTGTTGCTACAGCTGCTGAAATATTACCGTTGTTTTGTTGTTACTGTATATATTTATTATTTTACAGTGTGACGTTTACCAGTTTAAAGTTTTAAGGCTTTTATTTTGAAGGACTTGTATTTTGCAGCAAAACCACACTGGCGCCAACGCATGACGACATAACTCCGCGACCAAGCTAATTAGCTCGCTGAGTGACGGCTACCACTACAACGGGAAGCAGCTACCGTGAAGAGTCTCCGTTACCGGGAGAATCCGCCGCCGACACACAGAGACAGCCGGTAGGGAACCGCTCCGCCGTGGTACCGGGGTACACTCGGAGGTATGACCGTTGGAGCTGCGCGCTGGGAGCGGCGAGCTAGTGGGCTAGCCGTTAGCATCGTGCCGTAGCGGTCCGGAGAACACGTCACACCAAACCTCTTTTAAAACTCTGACACACAAAAAGACAAAGTGTCTGAGTCCAACTGTACAACGGCTACAACCGAACAGAACTCCTGTGGTCGACTATCAGAGGACACTCTTTAATTCGGCCCTCATTAAACAGCACTTATAAACATATAAATATATATATTTAACACAATAACTGCTTTTATCAGCGCGCTGCGTTGTCACACAGAAGCTCCATCAGTGGCCACTAACTGAGGAATGAACTGGTTGTTTAGTTTAACTTTGTGTTGATGGAAGTTCCTCTCCAATGAATCGATTATAGGCCGACTGCGGGCTCTGATTATAACACAGGGACGTTTCTTTACGCGTTAAAGTGGCAGAATATTGAACGGAGACTGGTGTGGACTGATTTCACATGTTAATAAAAGTGAGCTCAACCTAAAGCTAGGCTTTCTGTCGGCATGCTACTATGCTAAGCTAAAAGAAACTAGCCAGATAACTTCAAGTTCACAGTGACCTCATCAGAGTGAGCCATAGCTAACTGTTAGCTCACTGTAGCTAGCAGCCGTTAGCATTACTAAGACAGTGAGTTGCTAGAATATTCCACAAGCTAATGCTAAAGGGGGGGTGATAGTGAGGTTTAAAGGCGGGAACTGGAGCAGCTGGTTGGACTGTAAGTTGGTAATTAACAGAAGTTGTAATGTGTTTATCGTCAGGCAGCTGGGTGACTCTCCTTCCTGCTGCTGTTGGCTCGCAGGGTCTCCCTCACTGACCACAGAGAGGTCTGAGCCTCCGTCACCATGACAGACAACAAGCGTCTCGCTTTCTCCATCATCCAGTTCCTCCACGACCAGCTGCAGTCCGGGAACCTGACCTCAGGGGCCCAGGAGAGTCTGGAAGGTGAGTCCGGATTCAACAGCAGGAACCAGCGAGGAAGCACTGACAGCAGCAGGATCATTATTATAAAACCAATGAGCCTCATGCAGGATCCTGATCAGTGTCACTAATCAATACTCCCATTATTAAAGCATCAATCAACCTGATCAGCCTTCAGCAGTTAGCTAGTGTTTCTGTAGTGGAGACTAAACGTTAACAATGATCCATATCAGCAGTTTGAATCCAACTAAAAGCTCCCTGCACCAAACTCCCTTTAAGAAATATCACATTTTAACAATTCCTAACGTGTTCGTAACAACACGTAACTCTAGAAACACGAGCTAAAGGCCGTCATATGTCCACAGTCTGACTGTCAATACAGGATCAATATCATCCATAAAGATACAGTGTATACTGATCAATATCATCCATAAAGATACAGTGTATCTGATCAATATCATCCATAAAGATACAGTGTATACTGATCAATATCATCCATACAGATACAGTGTATACTGATCAATATATCCATAAAGATACAGTGTATACTGATCAATATCATCCATAAAGATACAGTGTATACTGATCAATATCATCCATAAAGATACAGTGTATACTGATCAATATCATCCATAAAGATACAGTACTGATCAATACATCCATAAAATACAGTGTATACTGATCAATACATCCATACAGAACAGTGTAACGATCAATAATCCATAAAGAACAGTGTAACTGATCAATAATCCATAAAGAACAGTGTATACTGATCAATAATCCATACAGATACAGTGTATACTGATCAATATCATCCATACAGATACAGTGTATACTGATCAATAATCCATAAAGATACAGTGTATACTGATCAATAATCCATACAGATACAGTGTATACTGATCAATAATCAATAAAGAAACATCGACCTCTGTTTGTCGTCCTGCAGTTGCTGTTCAGTGTTTAGAGACGGCGTTTGACGTTTCGACTGATGACCAGAGCCTCGCCGTCCCGATGACGTTACCGGAGATCTTCGCCTCCGCCACCGACACGGTAGAGTCAGTGTAGTTCTTGTCCTGTTGTTGGCGGCCATTTTACAAGAAGTGTCTGACTGTGTGTGTGTGTGTGTGTGTGTGTGTGTGTGTGTGTGTGTGTGTGTGTGTGTGTGTGTGTGTGTGTGTGTGTGTGCAGCATCCAGTTGAGTCGCAGGTCAACAACAACTCCACTCAAAACTCCATCACAGAGGAACAGAGAGCCGAGGCAGAGACCCTCAAAACCGACGGTAAGACGATGAGGAGGAGGAGGAGGAGGAGGAGGAGCATGATGATGATGAGGAGGAGGAGGAGGAGGAGGAGGAGGAGGAGGAGGAGGAGACTCTTCTTCACTGCTGTTGGTTCCTTTTCTCGATTCCATTTGTCAGTGTGTTTTTTCTCGACTGCAGGAAACGACCAAATGAAAGTGGAGAACTTCTCAGCCGCTGTTGAGTTTTACTCGAAGGCGATCGCCATCAACCCTCAGAACGCCGTCTATTACTGCAACAGGTCAGTGCGCCGCCAGGACGCCGCCAGGACGCCGCCACATCAGCTGGTTCACTTCAGTTTGAATCCTCACAAAGTCAGAATCAGTGTTTCAGAGTGTTTATCTCCTCCGTCTCCTCCAGTGTCTGTCCAACAGGGACAGGAAGTCCTGGTTCAGGTGTCTTCAGGTGTTCTTAAAGGTGTTGTAGAGTTTCCTGATAATCAATAGTATAATAAGTATTTGATGACTCATCCTGCACTCGGGGGGCGTTTACTGATGCTGCGTCCAATCAAACGCTTCCTCTCTTCTGACTACTTCATTGCTCCATTAGCTAGCAGCATTATGCTCTGTAGATAACCAGCTAGTGAATCTATCTCCCTCGTTAACCAGATAATTACATCTGAAAGTAACGACCAATTTCACATTTAAGGGATAATCACCGAGAGGCCGGGCAATAAACAGTTTGTATGCCCGGCTGGTGGACGGCTTACCGCCCCCGTTTATTCTACTTCTTACTTGCCAGCATAATAAAACAATTCAAATACTTTAATAATTCTGCCTTTTCTTATTCGTATTGCATGCTTATTAAATGTATACTCTGTTTGCGTTCATCTCCCTCAAAAAGTAGTCCCCTTTAGAACTACGGTGAATAACGTTAGCTCAGCTGCAGCTAATTAGTTTCTATAGCAACCACACAAGGCTGCTCTTCGAACTGTAGCATAAAACCGTCTAAACAATTGGTTTAGTTCTTCGGCGCTGCAGCTGTCCGGGTCAGTTGTCACTGTCAGTTCTTCTGGTGGCTCTTCCACTCGGTGAAAACCTTGTCGCTCTTTAACCAGTCCTCAAATGTCTTCCCTACTCCAAATAGATTAAAATTGACAATGAATTCGTCCATTTTTCAAACGCTGCAATGTTTAGAACTACAGTGAATAACGTTAGCTCAGCTGCAGCTAATTAGTTTCTATAGCAACCACACAAGTACAATAACGTAGTTGCTACATTGTATCGACTGACCCTCCGATAGATTTCCGACACATTTTAGAAACTTTGTTACACTGTATTTGCTGTATTTTTACAACGGACCTCATGTTTGAATTTCTGTGATAGAAAAAAAAATACAAGCGGCGTATTGATCTACTATTTGATGACGCTGTGCTCAGTCAGCGGGCAACCTGCCGGGTTAATGCCGCCCTCCCAGCCAATCAGAATCAAGCCTTCTTAAATGAAGTAGAATAATGATTGCTAGTTAACTCAACTTTATAACTTCATTCACTGATTTTAGTGAAACTGGATCAGATTTTAGAGGAAAACATTTTCAGATATTCCCTCTGATGTCCTCCAGCTCTGTGATTTACAGATAGCTTTAGCTAAAGTAGCCAACCACTAATTAACTGCTGCTCACTGTATCTGCTGTTAGCCCGAGAGGCCGGGAGCCAAACCCGGCAAGAAAAGCAGCTCGGTCTGTCTCTGAGATTGAGTTCGGTCCCGAGTCCGGCTGTGTTCACTGGAAGGTAGACGCTGACGCTAGCTCATAGCGTTAGCTGCTGTAATCACCAATCAATATCCGCGATGTCTTTCGTGTTAATCAGTTGCACTCTACAAAGGAAACTCCTCATCACCACCTTTAGACTGAGAGGAAGCAACAACACAACTCGCTCCAGTGTTAGTTTGTTACAGTTACGTGTTACGAGAGAACATCACATGAAATGTTTTTTCTATTGAATATAAATGTCGTATCTCACAGTGCTGACCCAGATCACATGTTGGTACCAGGAGCTCTGTGAGATATTTGCTGTATTTCACACATTGAGTCATGTTAAAGGATTTGGTGTGGTGTTTCTGTGTGCAGGGCCGCAGCGTACAGTAAACTGGGGAACTACGCCGGAGCAGTGCAAGACTGTGAACAGGCCATCAGCATCGACCCGAACTACAGCAAAGCCTACGGGAGGATGGGGTAGGAAACCCAGCAGCAGCTTACAGTAGAGCAGCTGCTGCTCTGAGTCAAACAAACACTGTTGTTTCTCCTGAAAAGAAACATTCAGGCTGCTGTGAATCTTTCTCTGTGCTCTAGTAGCTGTCAAAGTGTACGAGGAAAGACATCACTGAAGTATAAAGTCACATTCTGTACATTAAAAAATTCAAGCTGGGATAACTTTGTTAGGAGATGATGCACCGATGATCGGTGTGTTATCATTAATATTTTATATATTCTGTTATTGTCTCTGGTTGGAGTCCTGAGGCGTTCACTGTCGTCTCTTTGTGTCTCAGTTTGGCTCTGGCCAGCCTCAACAAACACACAGAAGCAGCCAGTTACTATAAGAAAGCTCTGGAGCTCGACCCCGACAACGACACCTACAAAACCAACCTGAAGATCGCAGAGGAGAAGATGGAGACCTCCAGTCCAGTAAGACCAGAAGAGACCAGAAGGAAATGTTTTTTCTGCCCAGTGATACAGTGATGGGTCCTCATGTCTCTGTCTCTCTTTCAGACAGCGGGGATGGGTGGAGTCGATCTGGCTGGTCTCCTCAGTAATCCCGGCTTCATGAACATGGTGAGAGCTTGCACTCGGAGGGTCAACGCTCGCTGTCAACAGTTGGTTTATTGACGAGAGTTCAGCTGTGTTCCACCAGGGTCAATTCTTGGACCTCTGCTTTTTATTTGATCATATTCAGCAACGTTATAAAGAAACTCGGTTACAGAGTTTATCCTCCAATATGCTGATGATGCTCTGCTGTTCACTGTCACTCCACCTCCACGTCCATAGCTGTAGCTAACGAGCTACATTAATAATGAGCTAGATAAGCTACATTAATGCTGTTGTATCATCATTCTGTCGGGATCTACTCATGAATGTAAATGGGGGTGTACAAAATATCAGAAACACTTCCCCATAATTCACTGTGACTCTCAGCAGTGGAGACCGAAGGTTTGATTTCATTCTTGTACATCCTGTTAGTCGTCTGCTCAGTGAGTGTTGATAAAGTTTGATTGAATATGTGTACATGTGTCTCTGCAGGCGTCGTCGCTGATGAACAACCCTCAGGTTCAGCAGCTGTAAGTGGATTTGAGCTTCTCTCAGTCGGACCGTGTTTTAGTGTTTATATTCTCTGTGGTTAAACTTCCTGTCTCCTCTCTCTCCCCAGGATGTCGGGGATGATGTCAGGAGCGTACGGCGGGGTGGGAGGAGGCGGAGGAGGAGGTGGATTAGGAGGTGGATTAGGAGGACTAGGAGCAGGACTTGGAGCAGGACTAGGAGCAGGACTTGGTGGAGGAGGAGTAGGAGTAGGAGGAGTAGGAAGTGCGGCAGGCCCTGGAGCCGCTGCAGCTGCCGGACCCACCGGAGCCGCCGGACCAACCGGAGCCGCCGGACCCGCTGGAGCCGGAGATTTATCAGGACTGATCCAGGCGTACGTACCCAGATGACATTCTGACGTCGGTGGGGTCGGTGGGTGAAGCATTGAGCTGAAGGTTTATGGTGTTTCTGCTGTTTGTGTTGCAGAGGTCAGCAGTTTGCACAGCAGATGCAGCAGCAGAACCCCGAACTCATCGAACAGCTGAGGAGTCAAATCCGCAACCGAACGCCCAGCGCTGGAAACGAGGAGCAGCCATGACACTCAGATACAGTAAATACAGTAAAGCCTTTGTCACAATACAAGATCTTTCACAAGGAGTCTGTCTGCACACAAAGAGCAACCATTAACAGCCCACTGCTGTTAGAAACAGTAAGCGGATATTGGTCCTGATCAGCCTGATCACTAATCAATACTCCCATTATTAAAGCATCAATCAACCTGATCAGCCTTTAGCAGTTAGCTAGTGTTTCTGTAGTGGAGACTAAACGTTAACAATGATCCATATCAGCAGTTTGAATCCAACTAAAAGCTCCCTGCACCAAACTCCCTTTAAGAAATATCACATTTTAACAATTCCTAACGTGTTCGTAACAACACGTAACTCTAGAAACACGAGCTAAAGGCCGTCATATGTCCACAGTCTGACTGTCAATACAGGATCAATATCATTATCAGATAAAAGTTATGCTCATTGGCTGTAGCTCACTGTGATATGTAGCCTGCTGTTAATGTTTAATGTCCTCTGTCTGTTCCAGGTTGGACGGGTTTGTCTGGAGGAAAGGAGCTCATTCGGATCATTTATAACTCGAAGGACTAAAAGGAAGTTTTTTTTTTTTGTTTGTTTGTTCCATCACCGTATAATTCCTGCACGAGAGAACGAGAGGCGTCCCGCGTCCTTCAGGAGCCACGTCACCAAAAAAAACAAACTCCCACTTCCTGCGGCTCTGCGTGGTTTTTAGGAAGAACGTTTAACACTTTAATATCAAACAGATTAATGCTAATAAATCCTGCTCTAATAGGATCATGATGTTAAAACTGAAGCTTGAAATTTCTTCTTAAAACGACACAGTGTAACTTTAAATGTTTGTTGTCCTGTTTATGACGGATCTGAGTGCGTGTGTGTGAGTGTGTGCGAGTGCGTGTGAGTGTATCAGGGTTCAGTTGGCGTGTCAAACTCCTCGGGTCACATGGAGCCGTGAGGAGGCAGCAGGGAGGCAGCGAGCTGTTCAAACACACAATTAAAAAGAGCATCTCAACATTTTACACCCTCCTGTCTGACGTCTGTTGATTCCTGCACAGGTTCAATCAGATGCTTTTATTTACTACAAGGAGTTAGTAAGTCTCTGTATGACCTACACAAACAAACTATTATTATTAATGTCTGCCCTGGATTCCCCTTGAAATCAATGAAACAAGTCCGCCTGTCCACAGGGGGCGCCACAATCAACAAGATCTTCGCATGGCTTTAGCCCTAAATCCTGCTGGTTTCCTCCCTCCAGCACATTTTAAAGAGTGGTTTGATCTGTTAACTTGAATTGTGACTACTGTGATCAAACAGGAGGCAATTAATTAATTAATTAATAATTAGTGTGAATTTCTGGATAATTTTACCTCTGGCCTTAAAGTAAACACTGTATCCATAGAGACGACCCGACGTCCACTAGAGGTCAGCGTGTGTCTGAGGTTGAAGTGAAAGCGTCTTCACACACTAAAAGATTTGTGAATGTTTATAAATGCCTAAACTAAATTAATGATGTCATTTGTTTATTACTGACTTTTATGTTCAAACAACAAAACAGTTTTTTCTGTTCAGGAAATATTTCTACAGCTCAAATACATTTTATAGTCTTATATTTAATTCAATTTTCAATTCAATTTTATTTGTATAGCGCCAATTCATAACAGAAGTTATCTCAGGACACTTTTCAAATAGAGCAGGTCTAGACCGAACTCTTTAAAACATTAATTACAGAGACCCAACAGTACCACCATGAGCAAGCACTTGGCGACAAGGGCAAGGAAACACTGCCTGTTAAAAGGCAGAAACCTAGGACAGATCCTGAGAGAGAGAGAGAGCGACAGACAGACAGACAGGTGCACAGCAACAACAGTATTGGCAATGGCAATCTAGCAGGACCATGGCAGGAGGCTCCACCAGGATCGATAAGAACCTGCGAGACGAGAAAGCACAAGAACTCCGGGGAAGAAGTGAAGTTAATAACATGCATTAATGGAACATGAATGAGTGCAGAAAGAGAGAGGAAGAGAGGAGCTCAGTGCACCATGGGAAATCCCCCGATAGTCTAGGCCTATAGCAGCATAACTAAGGGATGGTTCAGGACTCACCTGATCCAGCCCTAACTATAAGCTTTATCAAAGAGGAATGTCTTAAGCCTACTCTTGAATGTGGTGAGGGTGTCTGCCTCCCGAACCACAACTGGAAGCTGGTTCCACAGGAGAGGAGCTTGGTAACTGAAGGCTCTGGCTCCTGTTCTACTTTTAGAGACTATAGGAACCACAAGTAGCCCAGCATTCAGAGAACGTAGTGTTCTAGTGGGGTAATAGGGTACTATGAGCTCTTTAAGATATGAAGGGGCCTGACCATGAAGAGCTTTATAGGTGAGGAGGAGGATTTTAAATTCAATTCTACATTTTACAGGGAGCCAATGCAGAGTAGCTAGTACAGGAGAGATGTGATCTCTTTTTCTAGTTCCTGTCAGTACTCGTGCTGCAGCGTTCTGAATTAATTGGAGCGTTTTAATGGACTTATTGGGGCAACCTGATAATAAAGAGTTGCAGTAATCCAGCCTTGAAGTAACAAATGCATGGATTAGTTTTTCTGCATCTGTCTGTGATAGGATGTGTCTAATTTTTCTAATATTACGTAAATGAAAGAAGGCGGTCCTAGAGGTCTGCTTTATGTGGGAGTTAAATGACAAATCCTGATCAAAGATAACTCCAAGATTCCTGACAGTGGTGCTAGAGGCCAAGTTAATGCCATCTAGAGTAACTATATCTTTAGACAATGAGTCTCTAAGGTTTTTGGGGCCAAGAACAAGAATTTTGTTTTTTTCTGAGTTTAACATCAGAAAATTGCAGCTCATCCAGGATTTTATGTCCTTAAGACATGTTTGTAATTTAGATAATTGATTAATTTCATTGGGTTTGATTGATAGATATAACTGCGTATCATCTGCATAACAGTGAAAGTTAATGGAGTGATTCCTAATAATGTTGCCTAAAGGGAGCATATATAAAGTAAATAGTATTGGTCCAAGTACAGAACCTTGTGGAACTCCATGACTAACTGTAGTATTTATTGAAGATTCATCGTTAACATGTACAAACTGCGAGCCATCTGATAAATATGACTTAAACCAGCTTAGTGCGGTTCCTTTAATGCCAATTTTTGAGTCTCTGTAAAAGAATATTATGGTCAATGGTGTCAAATGCAGCACTAAGATCTAATGATACAAGTACAGAGACAAGTCCATTGTCAGAAGCATTATATGTTAATATTATAATATTATATATATATATATATATATATATATTAGTATAATAATATTATATATATATATATAATAATATTATATATATATATATATATATATAATATTATTATATATATATATATATATATATATATATTAGTATAATAATATTATATATATATATATAATAATATTATATATATATATATAATATTATATATATATATATATAATATTATTATATATATATATATAATATAATAATATTATATATATATATATATATATATATAATATTATATATATATATATAATATTATATATATATATAATATTATATATATATATAATATTATATATATATATATATAATATTATTATATATATATTTTCATATTATCGTTTTCATATAAAAGTAAAATCTTCCCAGAAAGAGACTGAAATAAATAACCTCCCTGATGACGTCATTAGCAGATCCACCACTCAGCGCACAGGCGGTGCGTGACGTACACAGGAAGTGTTTGCACTCACCTGCCGGAAGAGAAGCGGATGTCCGGACAGGTAAACAATCAGTATTTAGAGTTTCATTGTGTTTGTGTGGAGCTCAGCTCGCTGCTCTCGGATCAATAATCACACTAACAGCTGATCTCTTTTAGTCACGCGGTGTTTAGCTGTTAGCCTCTTTAGCTTCCGGAGCTAACAACGACAGCTAGCAGCTAGCAGCTAACATGCTAACAGCTGTTAGCAGAACCCGAGCGGAAGCGAGATAAATGTTGATGTTTGTGTCTAACGTAAACGAATAAAAGCAGTCAGAATGGTGAAAGAGGTTCATTAATAAACGTTTAATAATGTAATGATAAGATTAAAGCGGCAGTAAAAACAAATATTAGAAAATAAAGGTTGTTGTTGTTAGCGCCGTGTTGTTTTATTTTGAAGTTCCTCACAGGAAGCGCGGTTAACGTCGTCTGGTGTGACGACACTAATATAACCGTTAAAAACGGACCGAACCGGTTTAATCCGTTAACGGCTGCGCTGACGTAACGAGAGTTTAACGTTATATTGTACGTTTATAACGTAACAAACAACACCGGGAAATACACACCGGGAAACACACACCGGAAACGCGTCTGGTGTTTGTTTTCAGATTAAAAGCACTAATATTAATACATGTATGTGAGTTAAACTGTTAAACTATAATAATATTACATAATCGATCAATAAGGGCACCAAAGACAATACATAAAATACAAAGATTAAAATAAAATACAATCGATTTTACAGGTTTAATAAAAGTATTTAATAAAGTTCTACTAAAAACTAAATTCAATAATCAGGCAGAAATAATTATAAGTTATAGTTTAACTACATTAACAATGACATTTACAAAAGAAAATACGATCAAAATAAATTAGTAATAAATTGTAGATAATGTGTAAAAACCAGACTGAAGAGGTTTAAAAATAAAAATATATATTTTAATATTTTTGCATTAATGTAAAAGCAGGATTTTAAGTTTTAACCCTAAATTATTACAAATACATTGAAATGAGCAAATCTTCACATTTGTGAATCTGGAAGCATGAAATGATAACACTGAATTAATAATAATAATAATAATAATAATAATAACGGCTTTATGAAGGACACATGGAAGAAGGTCTAAAGCAATAAAACTTTGAACTGGTTTAATGTGGTTGAACTGGTTGAACTGGTTTAATGTGGTTGAACTGGGTTAATGTGGTTGAACTGGTTTAATGTGGTTTAATGTGGTTGAACTGGTTTAATGTGGTTTAATGTGGTTTAATGTGGTTGAACTGGTTTAACTGGTTTAATGTGGTTTAATGTGGTTTAACTGGTTTAATGTGGTTTAATGTGGTTGAACTGGTTTAATGTGGTTTAATGTGGTTTGTTGTGAACGTCCTCGTCCACTAACCTCTCCCTCTGTGTCACTCTGTCCCAGCAGCCCCAGCAGCAGCGAGCGGAGGTGTGTGTGCGTGAGATGCGGCTGTCTCTGGCGCTGTAGCGTGCGGCGGGCTGAGCGTCAGGATGGACATCCTGGTGGCCAAGCTGCTCGGCCTGCTGGGATTGTTCGGCCTCATGCTGGCCGGCGTGCTGGTCCCAGTGCGCCTCCTGCTGGTCGACTACGACAAGGCGCACCGATACAGGAGGGCTCTGTCTCTCTGCAACTCGTTCGGAGGAGGCGTCTTCCTCGCCACGTGCTTCAACGCTCTGCTGCCGGCGGTCAGAGACAAGGTATCACTCTCCAGAGCGAACATCCAGGATGGCTGCAGCTGGTCGATTTCTCCTCGGGGGGTTTATTTAGTTAATTTAACGTTCTGAGTCTGTTAGACAGCAGAGAGGATGATTGTTGAACAGTGATTGACTAATAAAGACGGTTTGGTGAGTTTTCTTTAGTGTGTAAGATCAGATCGACTTTATTGATCCCACATTGGGGAACTTGTTACAGCAGCTCCAGATCTTTCTGGTCGGATTCACAGTCCAGTTCTTGTACGTGCGGCTCTCAGCCTGCGACTCGGATCATAAACGTGGTCTGCAGGTTCCTCCTCGCCAGGAGGGTTGGACCCCGTTAATACCTCGTTCAGACTTTAATGGCGGCGTGTCGTCTCTCCTCAGGTGTCCGCCGTGTTCCAGCAGCTGAAGATCAGCAGCGACTACCCGCTGGCCGAGACGATGATGATGCTCGGCTTCTTCCTCACCGTGTTCGTGGAGCAGACCATCCTCACCTTCAGGAAGGAGAAACCGTCCTTCATCGACCTGGAGACCTTCAACGCCGGTGGCTCTGAGGCCGGCAGCGACTCCGAGTACGACACGCCCTTCATCCCCTCTGCGCGGGGGTCACCTGGCGGCGGCGGCAGCGGCCGCTCCCACGGACATCAGCACGGACACTTCAGCCCCGCAGAGCTGGCGGGGGCGGGGCCTCTGCGGCTGGCCAGTCTGGTCCTGGCTCTGTCGGCCCACTCTGTGTTCGAGGGCCTGGCGCTCGGCCTGCAGGAGGACGGCGCCAAGTTGGGCGGCCTCTTTCTGGGCGTGGCCGTGCATGAGACGCTGGCCGCCGTGGCGCTCGGGGTGAGCGTGGCCAAGGCGTCGCTCGGGATGAAGGACGCCGCCAAGCTGGGCGTCACGGTCAGCCTGATGATCCCGCTGGGGATGTTGGTGGGGATGGGCATCGAGTCGGCGCAGACACTGGCGGGCGCCGTGGTGTCGGTGGTGCTGCAGGGACTCGCTGCCGGCACCTTCCTCTTCGTCACCTTCTTTGAGATTCTGTCCCGAGAGCTGGACGACAAACAGGACCGGCTGCTCAAAGTGCTCTTCCTCATCCTCGGCTACACTTCGCTCGCCGCACTCGTCTTCATCAAGTGGTGACACACAGGAAGTGACACACAGGAAGTGACACACAGCAATACCAAAGTGAAAACTCAATAAAGGCAGCAGAGGAAACAGGAAGCAGAGAGCTGCAGACCGACAGTGACTCCAGTACCCGGTAACCTCGGTACTGGAACGTTATCCCCTGTCGGTCTCGGTCCTGTGTTGGTTCCCGACCCGGCTGCTGTATGATCCGGTTTCACCATAATCACTGAATAAAGTTGAGCTAGCGACATTTAGTAGCTAGTTAAGTATCTAGTGCTTTGCTATAGAGAAAAATGCTAGCTAACTGGCTTTTGTACAGTAATCAGTAGAAGGAAGATTTAACAGATTATATATCGAATAATATATTTAGTTTGTAAGAAATTAATCTTTTAATTTCCTGATTCTTTCCTGATTCTTTCTCATCGTAAACTTTCCGTCTGTATGAGCTGAAGCTGAAAACCCCAAAATAAAAACACTGGAGCCTTTTAAAGTTAATATATATCGATATCTATATGTAATCGGACATGTAATCTTTATTTTTATGACATTTTCATCGTTGTATGTGTTCATATTGTGATCTGAACAGTTTTGTATTTATGTGTCTCATGTTTATCTTGTGTTACTGAAATTAAACAAATAATTATTAAACTTGTTATTTAAGAAAAATCTGAACCTCTGTTCTTTTATTAATCCTGTTTATTCTGATAATGTGCTTCTGTGGAGTCTGAGGATTTATTTATTGATCCTGGATTGAATTACAGCGTGCTCTTTAGCCCTCCCCCCCCTTCTCTTTTGACTGATTCCTGTGGATGCAAATACTAATATTACTGTAATACCTGTTAATTTAACTGAAACTGATTACCGGTACATTGAAAAAAACATTCTTGATTAAACAGCTTTTACTATAGATTTTGTTTGTAAGTTAGAGAAAAATTACTTTTTTACTACGTATTTTGTTTTTTCACAGTACAAATAAATAATAATAATAATACATTTTATTTATAGAGCGCTTTTCTAGGAACTCAAAGACACTTTAAAAAGGAAAAGAAAAAGGTAATAAAAACTATATAGATTTACATCTACAATATAAAGATTAGAAAAATTAAGTCAGTGTCACTCAGTAATTTAAATTACTCATAAAAAGCTTAAGAAGGTTTTTAACTTGTGAAATTGAATTAGTGTCACTTAAAATTTCAGTTTCAACAATTTGAGTTAAATTAACTTATCAGGTTTTGTAATTTTAAAGTAGCAGGAAATGGAAATACTGAAGTTAATCAAAATTGTACGTTTAAAGTCCGTCCAGTCAGAAATCAATGTGGTCCATTTCCAATAAATGTACTTGTTACTTTCCTTTTTTATAGCAGAAAGCCGAAATGTTGAATTTGTCACATTTGCAGGTTTTCTGTGTTTTCTCATCGACTGCAGTTTGAAGAGAATAAAGATGAACCACTAACATAAAAAGCACAATGGCACAGGCAGTTTAAATAACAGTAGCATGGTGTAAAAATACTGGACAATACTTTACTGAAGTATAAGAACAAAAGTACTCGTTATATTGTTGTTACATTACACACTGTTGGGTGGTTTGATATAAAACATATATATTGTGTTATACTTTATAAATGAATCATATATATATAGCATGTAGAGAAGAAATATAATGCTCAGACAAGTGGGCATCCCTGCAAAGTAAGTCCTTACAAAACAAATCTCTTGACAATTGAATATGAATCAGATAGACAGCACTGACCTATGACCTGTATCTACAGCACTGACCAATATAACAATAGTATCATTATTGTTACTATTATTTGAATCAAATAAACAGGATAGACCTCTGAGCTGAATACAGCACTGACCTATGCCCTGTATATACAGCACTGACAAATATTCTGCAAAAAGACCATCAAAAAGCTTCAGCTTATTCAAAATGCACTTCATAAAAAAGTGAAACTACTAAATTAACCACCACAATATGGAATAAAGATTTTACACAGCTGGTTGGAGTGGAACTAATTTTTACTACATTATACACTGTTGGGTAGTTATATATAATATAGAACACATATAATGCTTTATACTTTATACATTAATATATACTGCATAGAAAATGTGGTTTCCAGACAGATGTATAATATGTAAGTATAATATATGCCTCTGACATGTAGTGGAGTAGCAGTATAAAGTAGAATAAAAACAGATGTAATGAATACTGAACCGACTGTATACTGTCATTATTCTACTGTAATAATATTTTTATCTTTGCTGCACACAGATGCCACTGTGAGGTTTGAAGATGATAATTTGGCGCTACCTTGTGGCAGAAAGAGAGTATTGCTTGCATTTATTTTGTCAGGAGCTGTCTGAGCTTTGTACTGAACTACAGTCTTACACTCATCTCAACAATCTACACAGGAGCAGGAGGTCAATGTCGACCTCTCACAGGCTAACAAGAGACAAATGTATCCAGTGGTGGAGTGTAAGTACATTTACTGAAGTACATTTACCCTCATGTTACTTTATACTTTTACTCGATTGGAGGCAAATATTGTACTTTTTACTACATTTATTTAATTACTTTCAGATTCACATTATTAATACAAAATATGAATCAACTATACATTTTGATGGATTATTTAAGATTTTAGAAGTAATTTAAGTAATTAGTAAGTAAGTAAGTAAATTTAATTTATAAAGCACATTTAAACACAGTATAAACTGACCAAAGTGGTGTACAGTGGATAACTAAAAAGACAAATAGTACAGAAAAACACATTGGACCAATAGTCAATAATTCTATAAAACATGAATAAAAGGAAACCTTCAATATCAGAGCACACAACACAGAAATACATAGGATGAGCAGGAGTTCAGGCTTAGGGAACAAGGAAGGCCAGGGAGTAAAAGTGGGTTTTATCCTGGATTTAAAGGCAGAAATGGAGGGGGCAGATCTAATATCCAGGGGGAGCTGGTTCCAAAGAGGTGGAGCAGCAACTGCAAAAGCTGTATCACCCCTCTGTCTGAGCTGTGAGCGCGGCACATGCAGAAGCCCTTTATTTGAGGATCTCAGGAACCTTTGAACAGAGTAGGGCTGTACAAGATCAGCGATGTATATTGGGGCCAGCCCATTTAGTGCCTTAAAAACAAATAATAAAACTTTGAACTGAATCCTAAAATGAACTGAGCCAATGCAAGGAGGCCAGAATGGGGGTGATGTGCTCACACCTCCTGGTGCCAGTAAGATGACGCGCAGCTGCGTTTTGGACCAGCTGCAGACGTCTAAGTGAGGATTGGGGGAGGCCAAGGTGGAGGGAATTGCAATAATCCAGCTGTGATGTAATAAATGCATGGATAACTTTCTCAAGGTCATTGTGAGATAGGAAAGATTTGAGGCGGGAGATCATTCTGAGCTGGTAAAAACTATTTTTGACAACAGAGCTAATCTGTTTGTCAAAGCAGAGTTCGGAGTCGAGAATGACACCCAGGTTTCTGGCATAGGGTTTGACAGATGGGGTGAGCTGACCTAAGTTTTGCACTACAGTGCATCTTGCCTTGGGAGGACCAAAAATGATGACTTCTGTCTTGTCACTATTAAGCTGGAGGAAGTTGTTAGCCATCCAATTTCTAATGTCTTCAAGACAGACCAGAAGAGATTGTATGGAGTCCCTAGATTTTAGAGGTAAGTACAGCTGTGAGTCATCCGCATAGAGGTGAAAAGAGATGTTATGCTTTCTTATAATGTCACCCAATGGGAGCATATACAGGCTGAAGAGCATAGGACTCAAGATGGACCCCTAAGGGACCCCATATTAGACGGGAGCAGATGATGAGGAGAACTGACCAATAGACACAGAGAAAGTCCTATGTTTGAGATAGGAGCGGAACCAGAGTAGTGCACCCATTAATATGTCAATAATTATAATACCATCATATTAAATATATTATATAATATAATAATAATAACAATATTATATTCTGTACTTTTACTTTTGGTACTTTAAGTAAATCTTAATAAAAGTTAACACAACTTAATCCTCCAAAGATTTTGAGTCAGTCAGTTTTCCAGCTGATGAAGTAATAACTTAGTAACTTAGTGAAGTTAAATTTGTGCAGTATTTTAATTATTGGTGATATAAGGACTGCAGCCGAAGCTCAGAGACAGCGAGGGAGAGCGCAGTGACTGCAGCCGAAGCTCAGAGACAGCGAGGGAGAGCGCAGTGACTGCAGCCGAAGCTCAGAGACAGCGAGGGAGAGCGCAGTGACTGCAGCCGAAGCTCAGAGACAGCGAGGGAGAGCGCAGTGACTGCAGCTGAAGCTCAGAGACAGAGAGGGAGAGCGCAGTGACTGCAGCTGAAGCTCAGAGACAGAGAGAGAGAGTGCAGTGACTGCAGCCGAAGCTCAGAGACAGCGAGGGAGAGAAGGGACCAGGATTGTAGTGACTGCAGTTTGCCGTTTGAAGGAAGCAGAGTTCCCATAAATATGTTGAGAAAGCCAGTTGGTTTGTCGGTTCCTGCACACAGAACTGACAACCATATCTCTTACATTCATTTAACTGCAGTTAAACAACAACCTACCAGCGTCTGACTGTTGTTTCATGTGCACGGGGAGTTTCGTTTACTTAATAAATTATGATGTCATATTTAAATCAGTTAAAATAAAACTGTATTGATCCCTAGAAGGACATTCACAAACTCTCAGCAGTTTATAAAGTCTTTAAATTACCAGCTGCAACAATTATATTCCAATAATATCATATTAATATATTATACTGCATAATGAGCACTTTTACTTTTGATACTAGTACAGGTTGAATGTACTTTTAATACTGAGGTATTAGTACTTTTATTGCAGTAAAGGATCTGATACTTCCACTTTTTTCATGTAGTTTTATTTTCAAACAGCGATCAACAACAACAACAACAACAACCAGATCATTTCATAGACTCAAGACTCTTACTGACCGTCTGTCCGTCTGACCCTGCAGGATCCTGGCTACCCTGCTGACCCCAACAGTTCAGCCAAAAGTAGAAAAACTGAAACCACAACAGGATCCAGTAGCTGCACCAGATGCCACAACAAAGGCGTGTGAGGTGTTAGTCCACCTCCCTAAGCCTCTTAGAGTCCCTGTAAGTCTGCAGCCGGCCTGCAGGACCGGACCATGATGAGTTAATCCCTTAGTGGAAAAGGTTAGCTCGTCTTTGGCTCTCTTGGGTTTGTCAGCCTGCCAGACGCAGCGAGACGAGGACCGACTGAAGATGGAGGAGCTTCTATTGCCGAGCGGCGAGGAGGAGGTTCGCTCTGACCACAGTTCATATGTTCCGGGAGACGCAGGGAGGACGATGGGGGACCAAGTGAAGTCCTTCTTCCAGGTGACGGTGAAGGAGGACCTGGGTAAGAACTTGAAGAAGTTCCTGAAGAGAAACGGGCTGCTGACGCTGTCGGTCTTTGCGGTGCTCACCGGCTGCACACTGGGCTTCATGCTGAGGGGGACTCACCTGTCCACACAGGTACGACTCACTTTTACCCACAGATCTGTCCACACACATACAGACAATACCCACATACACTGGATATTGTTTGTGGGCTTTTCCAACACCTGTACTTTAGCGATACTTGGAACTGTTCTGGCACCAAAACGGTGCCTGGACCAGTGCCTGAAATGGGCCGGTACTGACCAGTACAGAGTGCTGCCGCCTCTGGTTCTTGTCTACATGAGTACACTTACTTCTTATAGAGGACAACCACTACTGGTGAGCAGGGCCGGACTCACCACTGAGGTCACCTAGGACTTCAGGGGTATATGTACAATAAAAGTCCTGAGTAATTGCCTAAAATAAATGTAGGGGAGAGTGGGGTAAGTTGAGCCAAAGGGTAAGTTGAGCCACCCCTTGTTGCTAGGAAATGGTAAAAAATATTGATCATGTGACCAAATATTTAGGAGGAAGGCTTCATTTCATGGAGTCTGTGAATGTAAGAACCACATAGGTAAAGTGGTTAGATATTTATTTCCAAAAAATAATTTTTCACTTTTGAAAGTGAATTTAGTCTATCATAAGTTTCATGAGCATACGGCTCAACTTACCCCATACACTGGGTAAGTTGAGCCATGAGACCACTTTTTTTGGACATGCTATATTATGGAAACAGTTATGTTTACACTCATTCTGTTTGTTTGAAGGGATGCACAACATCCTGAAATATATGCAGATATATTAGTTAGTGACAAAACTATGATTGCCTTGATGTAGTGATCCTAAATATGAAAAATTACTCATCTTGCCCCACTCTCCCCTACTTTGATGCTTTGATGCCCCAAACCCGCCTAACAAGTTCAGTTTTTGGACCTCAGTATTTCCAAATACTAAACGCCTTCGTAACTGCGTCTCCATATAAATACATAACTAGCTTAACGCTAAGAAAACTGCACTGAAAATGTCCTTGGTAAAAAGATTCAAATCTACCAAAGATTTATTTAAGGTTAGGATTTATTTGTGTTTCAGGTTATGTTGTATTCAGGGTTCTGTTGTGTTTAGGGTTATGTTGTGTTCAAGGTTATGTTGTGTTTAGGGTTATGTTGTGTTCAAGGTTATGTTGTGTTCAAGATTATGTTGTGGTCAGGGTTATGTTGTATTCAGGGTTCTGTTGTGTTCAGGGTTATGTTGTGTTTCAGGTTATGTTGTGTTCAAGGTTATGTTGTGGTCAGGGTTATGTTGTGTTTAGGGTTATGTTGTGTTTAGGGTTATGTTGTGTTTCAGGTTATGTTGTGTTCAAGGTTATGTTGTGTTCAGGGTTATGTTGTGTTTAGGGTTATGTTGTGTTCAGGGTTATGTTGTGTTTCAGGTTATGTTGTGTTTCAGGTTATGTTGTGTTTCAGGTTATGTTGTGTTTAGGGTTATGTTGTGTTTCAGGTTATATTGTGTTTCAGGTTAGGGTGTGTTTAGGGTTATGTTGTGTTTAGGGTTCTGTTGTGTTTAGGGTTATTTTGTGTTTCAGGTTATGTTGTGTTCAGGGTTATGTTGTGTTTCAGGTTATGTTGTGTTTCAGGTTATGTTGTGTTTCAGGTTATGTTGTGTTCAGGGTTATGTTGTGTTTAAGGTTATGTTGTGTTTCGGGTTATGTTGTGTTTCAGGTTATATTGTGTTTCAGGTTCTGTTGTGTTTAGGGTTCCTGTTGTATTTAGGGTTATGTTGTGTTTCAGGTTATATTGTGTTTAGGGTTCTGTTGTGTTTCGGGTTCTGTTGTGTTTCGGGTTCTGTTGTGTTTAGGGTTCTGTTGTGTTTCGGGTTATGTTGTGTTCAGGGTTATGTTGTGTTTCAGGTTATGTTGTGTTTAAGGTTATGTTGTGTTCAGGGTTATGTTGTGTTTAGGGTTATGTTGTGTTTAGGGTTATGTTGTGTTTAGGGTTATGTTGTGTTTAGGGTTATGTTGTGTTTCAGGTTAGGGTGTGTTTAGGGTTATGTTGTGTTTCAGGTTATATTGTGTTTCAGGTTAGGTTGTGTTTAGGGTTATGTTGTGTTTAGGGTTATGTTGTGTTTAGGGTTATGTTATGTTTAGGGTTATCTTGTGTTCAGGGTTCTGTTGTGTTTCAGGTTATGTTGTGTTTCAGGTTATGTTGTGTTTCAGGTTATGTTGTGTTTAGGGTTATGTTGTGTTTCAGGTTATGTTGTGTTTCGGGTTATGTTGTGTTTCGGGTTATGTTGTGTTTCAGGTTCTGTTGTGTTTAGGGTTCCTGTTGTATTTAGGGTTATGTTGTGTTTCAGGTTATATTGTGTTTAGGGTTCTGTTGTGTTTCGGGTTCTGTTGTGTTTCGGGTTCTGTTGTGTTTAGGGTTCTGTTGTGTTTCGGGTTCTGTTGTGTTTAGGGTTCTGTTGTGTTTAGGGTTCTGTTGTGTTTCGGGTTCTGTTGTGTTTAGGGTTCTGTTGTGTTTCGGGTTATGTTGTGTTTCGGGTTATGTTGTGTTTAGGGTTATGTTGTGTTTAGGGTTAGGGTTGTGCTGATTTAGTGTACTGCCACCTTATTTAGTCCAATTCAGGCAGTGGTCTGAACCAATATTTAAAGAAAAGAAGCAGAAAATCGACTCCATGATAGAACTGCTTTTTCTATTGCAAATTTAAACTTGGGGTTGAACAGTTTCAAGTTTATTGGTATAAATAAATACTAATTTACTGAACACATTCACATAATAAGTATAACCTCTCCCAGGGATCTCAATCTTGTGGCCCTGAGGCCATTTAAAGCCGTCCGCCCCCTCATATATGATATATCAGTTATATATAATACAGCCACAAGATTATTATTTAATTCTAATTCTAAGAATGTATATTATATTTTCTCTAGTTGTTTCATAGCAATGTTAATTACCCCTTCATATACATATACAATTCAAATAAAAACGAAACAAAGTTCTCTTTTAAATGTATTTTTGTTTGTTAGCATAGAAACAGAAACTGCGGTTAGCATTTTAATTATTATGTTCTTAATGGAAGGATTTTCTAGTAGTATTTGAACATTGAAGTGCTTCCTATGAGACAACAATAGCAATCATGGCCCCAAGACAATGTGGGTTTAGACTCACCAAACTATAATAATTTAACTCTAAATAACAGTTACAATACTAATAACTGCAAACTGCAGCTTTTAACTTGTCATATTTCTTACCTGAGGAAATGTTGCTGTCGTCAAGAGTATAAACACAACAAGGCTGTAAAGACGAACTACTGAGTGGATCAGTCTCCGTGTTTTAATGTCACCAACAAAAAACAAATTGATAAAACAGATAGACTTGCAGGAGAGGGAACCGTTAGCTAAAATTCTTATTCAGTTTTTTTTAGGACTCTATTTCCTGTCTGAGTCAGTCCCAGCTGTTTTCTGATATCAAGCCAAAATGGATGTAAACAATGCAGGTTTCAGATACTAGAAGAGGAAGAAAATCCAATCTAGGAATAAACACAATAACTGTTTTATTTACTATTTTTATAGTTTTTCTCGACATAAATAGAACAGACAAACCGGACGGGGCGGAGGGGTCGTCCATTCATTCATTAGCTAAAGTCCATTATCTCCTTCAAGCTAAACTTCAGATTCAAATAAGATTACAAACAACACTTGAAACTTCCTCTCAGGCCTCCACGTTGGTACTCTGAACTGACCCACTGCAGGTACATGTTATTCTGGTAGGAAACAGAATCAGGGAGCATTAACAACCACAGAGAGAGACTACAGTCCAAATCCACCGTCATTAATCCCGTCATTCAGTAAGTGGCTGTCAGGCTCTCAGCTAGTTTCCTTTAGACAGTTAGAGCCGACTCAGTATATAGAGTATAAATGTTCATGTGGTTAAACGTACACAGTCGGAGAGCAAGCTTCATCCTGGGCGTTGGTCAACAGTGACAAACACTAAACGTTGCAAAATAACTGACAATCATATTTAGAATAACATTACTATCTGCAATGTTCCTATATTTTATTTGGATCATTGACTTCCGCACCGCGCAGCCAAGACACAGCCAAGACAGAGGCCCCTGTCTCGCAACGCTCTGCAGTAATGTTAGCTTTGACTGTGGACTCTGTGTTGAACTCTGTGTTGGACTCTGTGTTGTGGACCTGTGTTGGACTCTGTGTTGGATTCTGTGTTGGACTCTGTGTTGGACTCTGTGTTGTGGACTCTGTGTTGGACTCTGTGTTGTGGACTCTGTGTTGTGGACTCTGTGTTGGACTCTGTGTTGTGGACTCTGTGTTGTGGACTCTGTGTTGTGGACTCTGTGTTGTGGACTCTGTGTTGGACTCTGTGTTGGACTCTGTGTTGTGGACTCTGTGTTGGACTCTGTGTTGTGGACTCTGTGTTGGACTCTGTGTTGTGGACTCTGTGTTGTGGACTCTGTGTTGGACTCTGTGTTGTGGACTCTGTGTTGGACTCTGTGTTGTGGACCTGTGTTGGACTCTGTGTTGTGGACTCTGTGTTGTGGACTCTGTGTTGGACTCTGTGTTGGACTCTGTGTTGGACTCTGTGTTGTGGACTCTGTGTTGGACTCTGTGTTGGACTCTGTCTTGTGGACTCTGTGTTGGATTCTGTGTTGGACTCTGTGTTGTGGACTCTGTGTTGGACTCTGTGTTGGACTCTGTGTTGTGGACTCTGTGTTGTGGACTCTGTGTTGTGGACTCTGTGTTGGACTCTGTGTTGTCCACTGTTGGCACTCGGGAGCATAAAGGTCACAACCTTTGACCCTCATCCTACATAGAGACACATAGAGATCAGTCCACAGACAGCAGATGAAGTCTGTTGGTGCAGTTACTCTATGAACCGTCTTTCCAGGAAGAATTGATCCCTCTCAGAAGACTATAATCAATGGGAGCATATTTATGTTCACAGTGTCCTATAAGTTCCTTAACCCCGGAACCTTAAACCTAAACCTGGAACTGGGCTATGACGTCCAACACTGGCTGATGTCAGAGACAAACATGGAGGTTGAAACCACTTAGACTAAATGTATTCTTATTTCTAATGTAAAGATTTTTTTTTGGAGGAGCTGTGCAGCATTAAAACGTCTCTCAGTGTTAAAGGTTTAAGTAACCGTCACATGTTCATGGTGAGGAAGAGAGTGTAAATCACCAGGAGCCTTCAGACGTATGTGTCAGGAGTTTTAATGAGTGATTTATTTTTTGTTACAATAAGTGTTAAATAGGTGGAAGTAACACAGTCTCAGTCCTCTAACAGAGAATACATTTTCTTACAGCACCTTTATTATTAATTTTAGTACAAAGCAGAGAACTGAAAGTATGTTTTATATCAGATTAAATTACCCCTTCTTATACAAATGAATAAATTCTTCCTTAAAATGTTTTTCATTTGCTGCAAAATAATGGCATAGGTCATATAAAGCGTTTATAAGACCAAGTTTCAGGCCTTTATGATGATAAAAAAATATATAGAAACAGCTGTTTGCATTTTTGTGTATGATGTAAGTATGATGTTAGTAATACAAATATTTTGGCCCCAAAACAATCTGAGTTTGAGACTCCTGGTTTAACCAAATGTGTGATAAGTATTGAGGAAACACAAGTCTACAAACACAGAAGTAGATATCAAATTTTAGGATCTATGATGAATGTATTCATTTATTTTAAGGCAGCTTTGTTAGAAAGGTCTGACTGTGCTGAATGCAGCGGTGTATGATATATAACTGTAGCCTTTGCGGTCAGTGGTCTGCATTAAGAAATGTATGAAGTGTGCCATCAAAATGACACAGCCATAAATGGCTTATCTGTGGTCACTAAAGGGACCCAAAATGTTAACTGTATCAAACTTATTCAAAGATTTTTATAAACTTTATTTAAAGGGTAATTACATTTTGTGAATGCAATAAGTAATAATTTGGACTATAATTTACTATAATTAAAATAGTTTTTGCTTTAATTTTACATAAAATCTTTTTAATGTTTAATTAAAGATATTTAAACTGTAAAACCAATGCAATGATCTATAAATACAGGTGAACACTGCTATAGTACAAATAATCAGGTTTAGATTTACAGAAAAGTGCTGTTATTATCCATCTAAAATTACACAACAAATAAAAATAATTTCTGTTTATATAAACAGTAAAAAAAAAATTATGTATTTTAATCTTCTTTTCTACTAATCTTTAAAAAAGAAGTCACTGTATGATTATTTACAGTTTCATTTTTCATGTTATTTTACATTAGAGATGTAAATTAAAAAATACAGAAAAAATCTATAAAATAAGCTAGAAACCCCCGTAAATATGACGAAATTAAAGTGTGTTTTAACAGATCATATCCAGAGAGTCTCTGCATTCAGGACCAAAACTGATCCATAAAGTCTTTTACTAAAAGCTGAGGACAAAGCCCTGCTTTTATTTTGAAAGGAAGGTGTATTTTGTTTTATCACCGCAGGCAAAGATCTACTTCTCTTTTCCCGGAGAGCTGCTGATGAGGATGCTGAAGATGCTCATCCTTCCTCTCATCACGTCCAGGTAGGTTGACGTCCTGCCGCACAGCAGCAAAAAAACATTTAAATAGTCATAAAAAATCAGTAAAATATCAATAATGGACTTAAACAGTTGGTGAACAAAATTCACGTATTCTATGGGTGTGGCAAACAGCGCCCCCTAACGAGCAGCCCAGTTTCACCAATATATAAATTAAGATTGGTACACACACCTATCACGTACAGATGTACAAAACTCCTCCTGGACCCTGACCCCAAACCCAACAGGAAGTCAGCTAATTTGGAATTTAGTGGTAATTTTTGGCGATTTGGTGCGTTCTATTTTAACAAACTCCTCCTTGAGAATCGATCACATCAACTTTATATTTGGTCAGTGCCATGTAAAGATCATCACCATTAAAAGTTGTGCTATTTGTAAACGTGTGTTAATGAAACAGGAAGTTGTCTGTTTGATAAAAGTCCCGCCCTGAACACGTCTACATGCCAATATTCAGTCATAGTCATAGCGCCACCTACTGGAAACAGGAAGTAAGCCTTATATGGCGATCAACTGAATTACGTGAAGTTTTCCTGCAGTAGTCGACGTATGTAGTAGTTTGATTTCTTACACTGAGTCTCTGGAGCCTTTAAAGTTAGACTGATATGGATCATAACATAGATATAACAGTTCTGATGGTCCATATAAAGGAAAGAGGCACTTATTATGACTTATTAGTTATTTAAATGTTACTGAATTTAAACCGTAAAAATAATAATAATAATAATAATAATAATAATATATATATAATAATTACACTGAAATGACTCCCTCTGTTTCTTCGGGAAGTGCGATCAGACACTGCTGCAGCACCACTGTGCTTGTGCTGAATTAACATAGTTTATTTACTCACATGATCCATTTCACAACCTCCATATTAGATTTTTGTTGTCTTCTGGGTTTCTGATATTGTAGCTAATGTGTCATATAACATATTCAGTTCAATACAGCTTTACTGAAACCTGTATTTGCAAACGTAAGCAGCAGGTCACTACCCAGATCAACAGATAAACACACAGTAGAACAGTGGAATCAATAATACATTGAATAAATACATTGATGAACTGGCTGTGTTCTGGAGATAAATATCACTTAAGTGTCCCCAGATTGACACACTTCAGGCTACGGACCCGTATTGACCCGTCTGAGGATAATTAATTATTCTATAACTGTCTATACTGTAACCTATGAACAGAATAATGATTATTATACATTCTAGTCAGTGAAATAATAATGAAATTAAAATATACCCCCAAACCAAAACAGTTGCCAGAACCCTAGCTCCCATTTTCAGTGCTGTTTTGTTAGCGATAAGCTGGCTTTGTTACACAGTTAGTTGGGCGTTCAGGAGGATCTTACTGTTACTGCTGTATGCAGAGTTTTATAAATACTGTGGTAGTTTCTAGAAATGTTTTGGGACATGAAAGCGTTACAGTTTTTGGGTAATTATTCATTTACTGTCTTCCCCTCAGTGACCTCAATGGTTTATGAACAATGACCAGGTTTTCAGCATTTTTCTCTTTTGAAGAAGCTTGCTATGCTAACAGTTTCCCCCTGCTCCCAGTCTTTGTGCTAAGCTATGCTAACAGTTTCCCCCTGCTTCCAGTCATTGTGCTAAGCTAGGCTAACAGTTTCCCCCTGCTTCCAGTCATTGTGCTAAGCTAGGCTTACAGTTTCCCTCTGTGCAGTTTGATGTCCGGTCTGTCGTCGATGGAGTCTAAGGCGTGCTGTCGGATGGGCGTCCTGACTGTCACCTACTACCTGTGGACCACCTTCATCGCCGTGGTGGTCGGCATCGTGCTCGTCATCATCATCAAGCCCGGCGTGGGGACGGAAGTGGAGAGCAACCGGCTGGGAGGGGGGCCCGTTATGACCTCGGCTGATGCCCTGCTGGACCTCATCAGGTGAGACGGGATATGTTTGTTGTGTTTTTCGTTATTATGATGCAGCGTAAATGTGTTGGGGTTAATTGTTTGCTAGGTTTATCCGTGAATGTTACCTGCTCAACATGTGCAGCCTGTGGGATCTATTGCTTGGTGTAATGAATGTTGGTCCAATGGAGAGAAACAGGATTATTAAAATATCCTCTGCCTAGTTTACCTACAACACTGACCTCTACCCTGTATCTACAGCACTGACCTCTGTGACTTAGGAATTATTATCACATCGACTAAAATCTTTATTAACTGTCTGTGAATATTGATCGGAGATTAGTTTTTCTGATATTTTTATACAGTTGGCTGTCTGTATTATGTTTTTTTTTTTTTTTAAATCATGACAATATCTAAACTTAAAGTAGGGGTCCCGACCCTCAGGTTGGGAACCACGGTTACATAGATTACCCACCAGTCATCTTATATTTCTGTTCTGTTGTCTTTATAAGCATGTGTTGCTTTATATTATGATAATTGGATTCGGTTTATTTATAGGTCAGATTTTGAAATATTGTTTGTTCATTTTGGAATTTTGGATAATTTTGAAATATTTATTATAAATGTTTTATTTATTTATGATGACTTTGTGCATACTCATGATATTATGGTACTGTGGTCCACTCTTCCCGCTCCATGTATGTGATTTGGAGGCAGTCACATAGTAAATGCCATCCTGCTGCATGCGGGCAAGGATTGTTTGTAGACGTGTAGCTGCTCCGTATTTAAGATGGTTTCTCCTTATCAGGAACATTTGCCTGATGAAGGTCTGGTACTGAAACGTTGCAAACACTGTTAATAAATGTTGTATTGCCCCAGAGACACCGGCTGAGCGGTATTGATCGTTATGTTCTGACAGATAACGAACACATAATGAAAATAACGATTAACGTAATGTCTGACAGGCTGCGATCAACAAATAGTAGGAAACACACACTCTCACGCACACGTCATCCAATTAGTGATGAGGCTAATCACTATATTTTTAGTAATCCTGCGAGGATGAGTGACAGATTAACTGATCCAGCAGCGGTGCGATGCAATGATCTCTTCTGCGGCACGTTGGCACTCTTCAACCGGCCTTACGAGCAGTGCATCATCATCCTGTTGACCTCTGACACCCCCCCGCTAAAAGTCAGGTCATCTTAACAACTGATTGTTTACCTTCCTGCCTGCCAATGTTACATCAGAGTCTCACACCTTCAACATACCTGCATCTGAGCTTCTAATAACACTTTATTATTATTATTAGGGACCGAGCCCGTTAATGAACTGGAAGGTCCCTATTGTTTATGCTATGTTTATTATTATTATTTCTAGTTATTATTATTATTAGTAACACCACAGATCAAAATGTCTATGTGTTATTAGGTTGTTTATACTGAGCAGCATTTTGCTCTTGGACCTACTTTATATACAGTTTAGTCCACTGGTGCCCAACCTCAGGTTCGGGGCCCTCCAAAGGGGCCGATAGATAAATCTGAGAGAGGACAGATGAAAAAACAAAGTTCTGATCTGTATTCGCTTTCTGAACTTTTTTCTCATCTTCGATCTTCCTCTGACACACTGATCATTTAACGGTTGTTGAAATGAAAACGTGTGGGAAGGGAAGAGGGGAAATGTCTCTGAGGTGGAACTGACAACAGCTCAGAAACTTTGAGATGACACCGTTTGTAAGAAGTCACAGGCCAGAAATACTGGGAGGCTCTGGTTAAAGGTCCAGTGTGTAGGATTTAGCAGCATCTGGTGATGTAGTTGCAGACAGCAACTCCCTCATTTCACCATCCTCTTCCAAGTGTGTGGGAAAATCTACGATGGCTGTGAACAGCGAGAAAAATGTCTACCTTCCTATCTAGAGCCAGTGTTTGGTTTGTATGGAAGCCCATTTCCGCCAATGTGACCAAAAACAAGACTTAGTATCTCAAAATAATGACTGTGTCAGTCAAGTTTTTCATGATAACAATAATAATGGAAACATTTTTATTTGTCACAATGGTGGAAATCTTAAAACATGAAGACACATTTGACTTTAACATTGACACTGACAGCGGCTTAAACAGAGACTGTAAGAACCAGAGTGCTGCTATATTTACTGCATGTCGCTGTGTTGCACTAATCAATCCTGTGTCTCTGCGTCCCTCCACAGGAACATGGTACCCTCTAATCTGATCGAGGCCACGTTTCAGCAGGTGAGACAGCAGCCGGGACAAATAAAGTCTGTTAACTCTCCCAACTTCACATCCTCTAATGACCCCCTCTGTGTCTCTTCAGTACAAAACAGACCTGGTCCCCATCCTCAAAGTCCCGGCCAGAACCATCCAGCCCAACTTCGTCTACGTCGTCCCCGATGACACCGACCCCAAAGGTCGGACGGTGTACCTGGAGCTCACCCCCCCTCCTGAGATCACGTACAAGACAAGTCCCGGCAGCAGCCAGCAGATGAACGTCCTCGGCATCGTCATCTTCTCTGCAACCATGGGTGAGCGGGACGGCGTCTGAACGATATGTTACCGATCGATACAAGAAATACCGATTAATACAAATCTCCGTTATTAAGTCCTCAAGGTCTCTGTTGTCTGAGAGCAGGTTTTTATAACAGATATCAGTTTTTGGGCATTTATTGACGTTTCCTGCACAGACTGAACATTTATAAAAAGTATAAGCACCAGTCTAACTCTTCTTCTTCTTCTAATAACTGTGTTGTTGTAGGTCTGTTGCTGGGCAGAATGGGAGAGCGAGGAGCTCCACTGGTCAACGTTTGTCAGTGTATCAACGAGTGTGTCATGAAGATCATCAATGCTGCCGTTTGGTGAGATAAAAACTCTGAATGTATACGGTTAATGACAAAAAAGGCTTCGGAAAAGGTCTTTTTAAAGATTTTTAATATTAATCTAATGCATATTTTTGAGTCTGGAACAAAGTGTTTGATTCATTCATTCATTGGTAAAATAACTTTTTAAAGAGTTTAATTCATTCAGTATTTCTAACTTCGCCCCAAAAATGTCAACAACATTTACAAACATTTGTATTGTAAGGTATTTATATTTTTCTAATCTTTGGTATCCCTGAGAAAGTCTACTGTGACTAACACATTATTATATCTTTAGTATCTTAAGCTTCCAATTTTACATTTTAAAGAGAGAAAAATAATTATTAAACTTATAATATTTTACTTTGAATTTATCACCATTAAAATGTGGTTTTTAATACTTTTCCTAGCGTGTTCACGTGCTGCGCTGCCTGACATTCTGGGAGTTTCCAGCTTCCAAAACATAAATAATAATTTTTTAATGTACTTAAGTTGTATTCAAACTAAATAAGTTTTATATAATAAAATGATTCGTGTCAAGAATATATTAAATGATTTTAAAAGGAAATAATACACTTGAACGCAAAAATATGCTTTTTTTAATAGTCTTGTTAAATCCCAGAAATCAGTGGTTGTTAAAAAAATAAGAACAATTTGTGGTTCGAATTCATCAGAGAAGATAAATGAACCAAACTACAGATGTGAAAACGCCCAATAAATAATAAATATTCAAACAAACCATAAACTGCACGGATGGATCTGATTTATGTATTAGTGGATTTCACAGGATTAAATATGTTCATGCATGTGCTTCACTTTGACCCACATGAACTCCAGCAGCTGTACTAGGGCTGGACAATATGGCTTAAAAATAAAATCTCCGATTTTTTCACACTAAACTCGATTTACGATTTTAATCGATTTTTTTGTAGACAGTTTTTTAGCAGGTGTTTGTGGGCTGCGGTCCTGTATATCTCACAGAACATTTCTCCCACTCAGCTGCATACCTGCTTGAGGTGCTGGAATAATAGCTTTCAAACAAACTTTGCAGTGGGTTGTGGTTTGTTCGCTGTCGGACGCCACAAAACCAAACCAGTTCATCAACCGACGACACTGTGCCTTTATTGGGGACGAGCTCATCCTGGCTTGCTGCCGTGTTGTGTTTATCTGTGGAGAGGCGGGGGGAGGGGTCAGCACACTCTGACCTACGGGAGCCCACAGGGAGCGCCGGTGTTGTGGAAGTTCAAGAGAAAACCGATTTTAAATAAAAATAAATCGTGTTTAACTATGAATTCGAATTAATCGATTAAATTGATTTATCGCCCAGCCCTAAGCTGAACTGACGTATGGTCCTCTGACACAGAGGAGGGTTTTGTGGTTCTGACCTGATGACCTGTCAGGTGGTCGGCTGATCACAACGTGCCGCTGTGACATCATCATAGTCTTCCTGCTGCAGCACATGAGCAGATTAAAGACAGTCCCTACAAAGCCTAAAGCTGACCTGAACCGTGGACAGATGCACTGCTACTATATCTGTTTTATAACAGCAGTGTCCTTCAGGGTTTAGAACGTGGGGCCCAAGGGTCAAAGTTTGCTCAACATAAGGTTTCCAGATGTTTCTAGCAACAATATGTTGCTGTATGAACATGAGGCGGTATCATCGAGCTCTGGGTGGATCTCCACGGCTCCAAATCATCAGGATGTTTCTTGTTCTGTCCTTTCAGGTACTTTCCGTTCGGGATCATTTTCCTGGTGGCGGGGAAGATCCTGGACATGCAGGACCCGAGCACGCTAGGGAAGAAGCTGGGCTGGTACGGCATCACCGTGCTCGCCGGCCTCTTCGTCCACGGACTAATCCTCCTCCCTCTCTTCTACTTCGTCCTCACCAGAAAGAACCCCTTCTCTTTCATCCGTGGGCTGCTGCAGGCCTTGGTGATCGCTCTGGCTACCTCCTCCAGGTCAGAGTCCAGGACAGTCCTGGTTCAACCTGCTGGTCTGCGTCAGCATTTTATTGAAGTTTTATTTGAATGTCGTCTCTTCTCAGCTCTGCCACGCTGCCCATCACCATGAAGTGTCTGTTGGAAAACTGTCATGTCGACCGACAGATCGCCCGCTTCGTCCTCCCTGTGGGTGCCACCATCAATATGGATGGCACGGCGCTGTACGAGGCTGTGGCGGCCATCTTTATCGCTCAGGTTAATGACTATGAGCTGGACTTTGGCCAATTAGTCACCATCAGGTAAACCAACTCCAACAAAGTGTCTCTAAAATAATTCAGGAGGTTTTGGTAACTTTTGTGATAATACACAACAAGAAGAACAAGAACAGTAGGATACATATTGAGAAAATGTCTCAAATGGAAACACAAATGGTAGGATGCAGTATGTGAATATTCTTAATCATATCCACTGCTGTGGGCATCCCACAAGAGCTTATACCTTCAGTTTGACTGCATAGTAACAATCTCACCTCTGTTATTCCTCAAAAAAGAATGAGGAAGCTGGTGAAATGAAGCCATACGGAGATGATACAGTGATGTACGCACATGATTGTAGAAAATGGAACGCTGCTTCCAAACGTCCTTATGTAATTAGAAACATTATAGTGTGGCTACATTTATTATGCTTTTAATTATATGTTAAAAACATGATCTGAGCACATTTACCTCAAAAAGACCATGTACCACTACTGAGTCAGATATGACATCAAGTTAAAAGCTCCAAATTGTGTTTGAGTTGAAGTGCCTGGACTGACTCTAATCTTTCCTTTAAATCTCATGTTGAGAAATATGCAAACCAGGAAGCTTTAATTTGACAAATTTTAAAACGTAAAGTTTTTTAGAGCTTCATGTGGAATTCAACAAAACATCCGCACTAAAAACCCCTTAAAACGTTCTGAAAACATGCTCTCAAGGGTTTCGAAAATAAACTGCTTTGACAGTTTAAAGGCATACTGATGAGGATTTTCCCAAACTGTCTGTAAACAAACCTTTGACAGCGGGACCCCTCCTCCCTGGCTCAACTGAGAGCAGAGATGGTAGAACGAGGTAGACAGTGAATGAGTGAGGGAGCACTGTTACGGAGAACAAAGCATTATTTTCTGTTCTGTCAAAACGGATTAAATTAATTTACACATAATGTTCACATAAGAAAACGTAATACTTTCCATTCTCACCTTTGATATTAGAGCCTTTTCTGCAGTTTCCTTTTTGGGTTCAGTGTCAGATAGTAAGTCTACCATTAGCTCTGACTGGAAGTCCACTTCAATGCTCTGGATCATTGCTGCCTCTAAATTTTAATCTCTGACAGGATAAATTATTTTCTGTTCTGTGTCTGTTTGTCCGGCAGCATCACAGCTACGGCTGCCAGCATCGGGGCAGCAGGGATTCCTCAGGCCGGTCTGGTTACCATGGTGATCGTACTCACATCAGTGGGTTTGCCGCCAGATGACATCACACTCATCGTGGCCATTGACTGGATCCTGTAAGTAGCAGTACTCTTTAGGGTTTTATCCCTGAAAACACAATTCCCAGGAATGCCCATCCAAACCATTCCAAATATATTAACAGGAAAAAAACCATAGAACATATTGGAATATATTTACTTTTATGTACATTTACAAATACTTTAAAAGAAATGTGTTAAAGCAAGGAGCTATAGTGCATTTAAAGCTGTAATTTTAAATTATGTTCATTCTAATGTTGATTAACATAAATTACATGTTTTTGTCTCAATGATCATTAACACAGCTGAAATTAAGCCATATGCTGAGGATACAGTGATATATGATTGTAGAAAACTGCACGCACCTCTCAAACGTCCTTATGCAATGAGAAACATTACAGTGTAGCTAAATTGATTATGCTTTTAATTAAATGTGCAAAAGAATGTAAGCAGCACCTGAAAGAGATATAATGTCAGGGTAAAAGCTCCAAGGTGTGTCTGGGAGCTCAAACTGACTGATGGATCATATTTTATTTGCAGTATTCAGACCCTTACTTAAGTAAAAGTACTAACACTAACTAAAACAGCCAATATGAACAGTACGATACATCCCAGCAGGTATATAAAAAGGAAGATGTGAATAGACTATAAAACACTTCTCAGAGCTTTTTCCAGAATTTGTCCTCTCTGTCTCTGTAGCGACAGGTTTCGGACTATGATCAACGTTTTGGGCGATGCTCTGGCGGCGGGAATCATCGCCCACCTCTGTCGGAAAGATTTCCCCCTCAGTGGATCAGGAAAGGTAATTTTTTTTTTTAATTTACTGACCTGTGATATATTTATTTTTTTGGAGAGAAATCTGTCTCCCAGAGCGAGTGTATATGTTCTGATTGGAAACATCAACCCTTCCATTACACCTGGGAGCTGTTACTTCATTCATGCCTGTTAGATTAGATTAGATTACAGGAGTTTGCTCAGATCGGACCAACAACCACAACAGATTAAAGCTCTGACTCTCACCTTGATCCTGTTGAGTTTTTGTCAAGCCCCGCCCCCCCTCTGCAGCACTCTGCGGTCCATGTTGCCGGGCAGAGAAATCAATCAACTAAATCAGTTACAATCACTCACCAACACATTCATCAGGTCGAGCTGCTTTTAGTCTAAAGAAACAAGGAAATATTCTTACACATATTTACTTTAAACTTAAGTGCAAAGCTGGAATTAGAACGTGGTTAGCCTAGCTTAGCATAAAGGCTGGAAGCAGGGGAAACAGCTAGCCTAGCTCTGTCTTAAGTTTAGAAATACACATATAAACACCTCTAAATAATCACGTTGTACCTTTAGCATTTCACTGTGGGAAGCTAACGTATGTTGTATGATTCCGTCCCAGTCTGTACCGTCATACGGTACGCAGAATCCTCACAACAACTCCCACAGTGTAGACGTGCCAATGACAGAGATCCACACTCACAAAGACTGCATGTTCGACACGATGGGCGACTCGGCGAGTGAGAGGCACGCACACACTGTCTACTACAACATCTGTCAGGTGTGACAGAACAGCTCGCCTCAAAACAGCGTCTGGGAGGATCCGGTCAAACCTCACTGTGCCATCTGATCAGGAGTGTAAAGAAGAGACGGACTTTGTGGCCACAGAGCGTGAATCTTCACGGGATGGGAGCCCAAGCAGCAGTTTCATTTCGGTGGTTTATATTCCGTTGAAGAACATGATGAACAGAAGCCTGATCTTCACCAGAGGATTATGGGTACCCTACTGGGAGTTCATCTTCTGGTTTAAAAGAGAGACATCTGAAAGCAGGATGCTTGAACTGATATCCAGGTTTGTTAATGGGACAGCTCCACTCTGATACCTTGTTTAAGACTCTGTGGATGAAATAATGGTTTATGAAGTAAATCCTTGCATAGTAACCACGATTGCTGTACGTATCGTGGTAACCATGGCGGTTTCTAGGGCTGCGTATCAAACCTTAATACGTCCCTGGTAGTGACCGGAATGTGTCCGAGTTTGAATAACTGTCAGGTACCAAAAGCTGGTATCAAATGTATTCTGCCTTGTGTGACCCGTAGAAGAAGCGCACTACAGGTCCCAGGTTGTTTTGATATCAGGATAGTAACTCTTGTTCCACATGATATCCAGCTCTAGCAGTCGCCCGAACAAATGTTAGGCGGAAAGGTGGATCAGCACCTGGATCATTTTCCTGTTCGTCCCCTTTACTCAGACCAGAACAAATCCACCAAAACCAGATTGTTTTGAGGTGTTTTTTGGATCCTGAAGAGTTGACATCTTAGAGACTGTTTGTCTTTTTATCTGGGATCTTCTGAAGGGAAGAACTTCTTCGTGCTGCTGTTTGTTCTGAACCACATCTCTGTCTTATGTTCAACAATTCTCTCTGGTGTTTAACAAACCTCTGACTGAACTCTGTATTTGATTGGCCGGTGCTCAGACTAGCTCAAAGGTCAATCCGTCCAATCCGACGGCTGAATGAATCCAAGTGCTCTTCATCCTCATCAGACTCAACCTTCTTCTTCTGACTCGTTTGTATTCGACAGCATGCTGGCATGCGTTCTAACTGGCTTCATTTGAAGTCCATGTGCATTATTTTCTTCTCTTGTTGTTGTTATTGTTTTTATTTGAATGCTACAGAGTAAACAAAGTGCTGTAGGGATTATGGGAACCTTACCAATGTCAGTTGCAGCTAACATGAACAGATTCTAGCTCTGGTTTCAGTTTATCTTATGCCTCACCTCGGTCTACTAAATATTCAATATAGATTCTGTCGCTATCCAGTGAGTTATTGATCTCGTCTGGAGCCTCTGCTGAAATAACCTATTTTACTATATTGATTTTGTTTTTTTTGTTGCCTCTCAGGCTTCTGAAACTTTTCCGAACCCAAACAGTATGATTTCAAATGGGTCATTAAATGTCCAGCTGGTATTCAAACTCAGAAAGTGGTTTACGCTGGATGTAGGCGGAACCAACCACAAATTGTTAATTTAATCCTGAAATTGATACGGATTGATCAGAAGTTGCTATATTTATTAGGAAACTATTTACAGATGAAGCCTTTTTTAAAATAAAAGTTGCTATATTTACGACTACGGACACATTTTACTCTGACGATACTTGTAGAATCTGTTCTGGATACTGAATTCTGAAGTGTCTGTCAAGAGCCACAACACCAATTAATTCATGAATTAATTAATTGACAATTAAGTTTTTAGATAATTGATTAATGACAATAACAATTAACTGTTTTTCTTTGTCATATATTTCAGGAAATTTAAAATCTTTTGGTTATGACAACAACTGACCCTTCATAAGCCCCGCCCCATTTTTTCCAATCACAGTTGAGCAACCCTTGGTCAACTTCCTCCTTTCCTGTACTTAGATATGCTACATCTATGTTTGAAAGACAACCGCATCTTGAAGATGACTATTTTTACACCTACTGGACTCCGTTAAAACGTTTCTGGAACAATGAAGTCTACAACTAATAGTGATACATTTTAAATTCAGCAAGAATTACGACCAACTGCAACGTGTTAATAAGGACTACACTGACTTCATGGACAAACATTATTTAATGAGAGGATTTTTAACGTTTTCTTTGTCTCTTTGCAAGCTGACGTCATTTACTCCTGATTACCATGTTTTAGCCACTAACTGCTCATTAACTAATTAATTATGTATCACCCTCAAATGGTTCACATATTTTATTGACAGTCGATTGGGAGTCATATAAAATTCCAACTAATGAAATCCTGACTGTCACTGATTATTTATCACAATCTCAATCTGTAAAAACTGACGGTATAATACGGAAGATGATGAGAATAAATTAGAGTAAATTGAGATAAAGTTACATTGAGATTACATAATTTATATGTTATGTGATTTGTAGTTAAGTGGCTAAAACATGAAAACATGGAAGAAACTGTTTTATTTTTGGTGAAGTGCTCCTTTAACCTCTCTGTGTTTAATTAGTCGTGTCATTTCAGTTTAAACATGAAAACGTAGACCTGCCTTAATTTGACTGTTGACCTCCGTCGTTCTAATCCACAAACCTCAACGTTCATCTGCCAACACACCATCAGCCCGACACACCGCAGCATTATCGGTTAAACTTTCATCATGTAAATACTGTTTTTATATGGAATATACATGTGGTTTTGAATTTGTGTCACTTATGTTTATTTGTATTTGAAAATAAACACTGTGTTATATTGTGTAATATTATTGACTTACATTTATTAGTTATTAGTTACACCAGTAGTTACTAAATGTAATATTATTACTAGTAATGCCTTACTGGCCATCGCTGTTAGACAATGCACAGTGCATTATTTTTAGACTCCAGGAAACAGACAGAAAAGCATTTAAGAGAGTTGAAAATTAGTTTACAATTTGTAATTGTTGGACTTGATTAGCCTAGTTTAGCATAAAGACTAGAAGCAGGGGAAACAATTTTGCTTTTCATGGATTAACACTTTATGGCTCATGTGTTTAATCTGTACTCAAACAGAAAAGTAAAGACCACAGTTTGTGTTTTTAGCGGGCACAAAGGCTCAGAGGGAACACATGGACACATGTATATCGTCACAACTCTGCCGCTATTTTTAACGCTCTCACAGAGCGCCGCGCCCATTAATCCAATAAAGTGAGCGTGAGGCTGCACGAGACCAATTCCCTGCGACTGCATGCAGCTACAGGTGCCTCAGCCGCTAATCCGCCACCACAGATTAAAGTCACAATGAAGATTTAATGAGTGAGGGAGGAACAACAGGGATTAACCGGTATTATTGAGGGGGGAACTGATTTCACATGCAGAGAGTTTCTCTGCTCGAGGACGTCAATTATTTTTACAGTTTTTTTAGTTTAGAATGAATTAAATCTAGTCTTTTCTGTGCATTTACACAGTATTTAAGTATAATTTTGAGCTACACTGTACAAAATATTACAAAAAAAGCCCCCAAAATACTGTAAAATAACTAAAAAAACAAAAATTACTTATATTATTTGAGTAAAAGTTATAGAACTGTAATCAAAGTAATTATCTGTGAAATTACAGTAATTATTGCTGTTTTCACTGATAAAAACTGTATTTCAACAGTTTACAAATGCTTATACACTGATAAACAACATTTATTCAACGTTTCTGTTGTGAAAACTTAAATAAAATTACAAAACAAATACTTCTATTTTACTGTTAATTGTCACTAATTTGACATCATTTCAGAAATGTATTACCAATATTAAACTTGAATCTAACAGTTTACAGTTGTTTACAGTTACAGCTTTTTCCCGTTATTTTACATTAGACATGTAAATTCACAGGATATTTGAGTAATTTTCATAATATTTCCATGTATTAAAAAAAATATCGTAAAAATCAGTCAAATAAACTTACTGATTTTTTTTTTATACTTGTAACAGTATTTCTACACTGTGGTATTAGTACTTTAGTAAAAGTAGTAAATTATTTAGCAGTGATCCACCGGCAGTGAGCTCTTATTGTAATTAACGTTTTAGCCTCTAGAGGTCACCAGCAGATCAGACTGCTGACACCGTCTGTGCACTGATGAGAGAGAATATAAATACATGATTAGAAAAAGATATGAATTAACATTTTTAATGATTTTAATTAATTATGGTTAAAAAGTAGGCCTGTGTACTGGGTATAGTTTTATTGTCACTGATTCTACACAACAATTTAGTTAACTAGTCAAGAGGCGTATAAAACCCCAAAACTGACATAAAACTGTTAAAATTAAAATTAAAACACTGTGAGAATAAAATAAGTAAAAGAAAAATTCTTTATAATTTTCCAATCAGTTGTTTTGGTTATAGAGTAGAGGTTTTCCATATTGTGTCATATTTTACATGTCTTCAAATTCCCCAAACTATGTGTAATTGGATGGATGGATTTTAATTTAATTAAGAAATTCAGTAAACATAATCACAGTGAATCTGATATGAAGCTTTATTCTCACAAGGACTGACACACGCATTCAGTTTAGAAAATACACTTTGTTCATCACAGTACATACAATATTAGTACGAGTAAAACGCTGTAAATGTTATATTTTAATTAATGTACAGGTAACAGTATTTTATAATATAAAATAATATTTTTTCACATAGTTGGGGCTCAAGCAATGCAACAAATTACAAATGTTAAATGTGCATCTAAAGGGCTGTTTAGTGCCGAAACTGACCTGCCTTTAAAATCACTTTTAGAAAGAATGTGATGTAGAGAGAATTTTACATGAGGTAGTGGTTCAACTGGATCTCAACAACACCTCTAAGTCTCACTGAGGTGTCCTGGAGACATTTAACCTGTTGACCGTGAGAGCCTCGAAACATGATTGAATTACCAAAACTATAAATTCACAGTTTTTATCTGACCCAGAATAAGTAAAAACCTTTTGTTGTCCGTCCCAGCGATCGGCTTCAGATCTGTTATTCGTCATCGAAGTCTGCAAAAGCAGGATACCAGTAACTCTCCTTTCTTTCTGAATTGCCTCTCTGCGCATCGTCTTCCTTTTTTCGTTGGACTCTCTTTATCCTGGAGATCTGAGCAGCAGCCAGGCAGATCATGCAGACCTGCCGGAGGGAAACAGAAACTGATCAGAGCTGCTTCTGTTCGAACACGATAGCCGTGTGTTTTCAGGTTGTCGCTACCGGTCAATGCGATATCTCATAAACACTTTGAGGGAATTTGTTCCATTTTGGAACTTTAGGTGTGTTCACACCATTCCCTTCATCCAGCGTGAATTCGCATCTATTCAAGTCTTTGCATTGACTTTGTGTGTAATCTCTTCACACAAACAAAATGTGTTGTTAGACAAATGTAAATGAGATATGTTACATAAGTTAAAGGCATACTATGCAGTTTTCCGGTTTTGTCAAACAGCTACCCCCAGAGTCACTGCGGAGTACTTGTATTTAACGTTAACTGTCGTAAATGCTACTCACCAGAGCCGTCTCTATATACGGCTCTGCGTCTCTGCACTCACGGCCTGATCCCCTCCCGCCTGTATACCGGTACATAGATAGATAGATAACTTTATTAATCCCACAATGGGATATTCACTTGTCACAGCAACATTTGAGTGAAATAAATACAGATATAAAAAACAGGAACATTTGCATACAGCAGGTCCAAGGTCTTATTGTCTCTGGTGGTGCATGTGACAAACTGGTGGAAGGTTGGGAGTGTGGACGAGAGAGAAACGTGGTTGAAGTCCCCTGTGATGATGATGAAGGCCTCCGGGTGTTTTGTTTGTAGTCCTGCAGTCACAGTGTGGATGACGTCACACGCTGCTTCTGCTTTCCCAGACGGAGGAATATAGACAGTGATGATGATGATGAAGACCACTGTGAGGAATATAGACAGTGATGATGATGATGAAGACCACTGTGAGGAATATAGACAGTGATGGTGATAACACTGGAAAATTCCCATCGCAGATAATATGGACGAAGTCCGACGGCGCCAAGCTCGATGTCCGGGCTGCAGACGCTCTTTCACACAGACGTGCCCGGCGTTACACCACCTGTTGTTTATGAGCACGGACAGTCCCCCTCCTTTCTTCTCGCAGGTCGCGGTGGTGTCCCTGTCGGTTCAAACCGTCTGGAAGCCGGGCATGGTGACGTTGGAGTCCGGTATCTGCTAGTGTAGCCACGTTTGTTTCCAGTGATGACTGCAGGGATGTAGACTTTAAACCTCCTCTTCTTCATCCTCCGTTTAACCTCCGCTCTGCAGCCTCGCCGTCTCCTCAGCTCCTCCGGTATGGAGGGTCTCTCTCCAGTCAGGATGCTCGGTACCTCAGGGCGATCATCTGGTCATGGGTGTAAACAAAGTGATTCCCTGTCGCCATGGAGCCCCGTGCAAACAAAAAATAAAAAGTGCTCAAAAACGCCAAAAAAGTATTTAGACGACGTGAACAAAGTAGTAAGAAAGTAAGAAAAGAGTTAAAAATAGCAAAAAACACACTGAAAACACACTGAAAACACACATGTTCAGTAGGTTGAACATTCCGAAGATGTCTACTGACCAGGTTACGTCTGAGTGAATGCCGTAAAGCAATTTGTGATTCTCGCGAGATTTGGCGGGGCGCCACCTTTCAGACTTGCATTGCTGGTTTGGGATGATTCGCTATACTACGAGTTCGTTTACCATCGAAATGACTTCAAAGCTGTTATATTAAGGTAAAAATCTTGCATAGTGTGCCTTTAAATTATTTACTTTAACGCCATGTTCCCACCAATGTAACATTTTATGTCAGGTACATTAGGTAACTTTTCCTAAACCTAAGCAAATGTTTTTGTGGCTAATCCTAACCAAACTGCGACAACGTTAACAAAGCAATATTTCATTTGAAAGTCTGACTGGACATTGCATATTTATTATTGCTAACTTGACCACAGAGCCCTGAACAGTTCTGAAAGATCTCTGATAATGTAATAAAAGTTGTAAATAAAACTCTGCTCAGGGTTTCTGTATTTCACAGATTTTAAATCAGGTTTTGTTGATTTGATCTTGTCGGATGTGAAGTGAAGTCAGTGGCGATACCTCGAGCAGCAGCAGGCCGCCAGTCAGACCGGCCACCAGCAGCAGGTTGTTTTTGGCCCACCAGACGATCTTCTCCAGGCAGCCGACAGTGAAGACGTCCTGAACGGCCGACTTCTCCTCCAGCTGCTGCATCCCATAACCACACATGGTGTTCAGCACCGTCTGCAAGAAAGTGAGGTGTTTATGGTCATTTTTTATTTCTGTCTTTCCTCACTACCTGTTCATCTTCTCTGAACTGATGTCATGGGAACGCCCACAAAACATTGAGCAAAATAACATTTAACGTGTCGGGTACGAATATGAAAATATGAAAATGTCAACATCTACAGGAAAGATTTTTATGATTTTATGAACAGTGGGTGCGAATCAAACTATGATTTGAAGATTTCTTGATACATCTGATAAACTGCCAAATGTGTAAATATAAATTTCCAATGAAGACAGTTTTGGAACCTGCAATGTTCAGTATTAATGCTTCACACGTTGCAAGACCTCTGAGTATCTTATTCGTACGTATGCAGATGATATCCTCTTGTTAATTTTTGTATCTCACATCAGTAAAATCAACCCTTCTAATGAACTGATTCAATGCATTTATCATTTTATATTGTAGGAACATTACCACCAATCAAAGCAGATGATTAATAAGTTCATTGGAGCAAGAAGCCAGTGAGACAAAACCCAAAAGATAATGCATGCTTTGTTACGTTTGACTAAAAACTTAAATTAGGATTTCTTAAACCAGTAAACCCAAAACTCTAGGCATCCAGGAGTCCCTTCATAAACCTGTGGAGGACCACACAGACCTGGTTCTGTTGGTGGATGCAGCAGGAGAAGGGAACCCCGCAGGCCTCCAGACTGGGGTTTGTGTCCGAACAGTTAAAGTAGACGTTCTGGGACCAGTCCTTATATCCCTCGACTCCACAGCACTGAAACTGCAAACACAACAAACCGGATTATAAAAGGTCTGACTCTGCCTTAAAAACACAAATCATGCTTTTTCTTCACCTTCTTCTGGATAAAGTCGATGGCGTTCTCCAGGTCCTGGTCCTCCCTGTAGCGAACGATGGCCTTCATCATCAGCCTCTCCGTCCTCTCCATCACCTCAACAACAACAGCATCATCAGCACTGGAACTTTAGTTTGAGTTCATTCAGTAAACAGCTGCAGGAAGCGTCTCCTTTATATTTCCTATCTGATCAGTGTGGCGTTACCATGTCAGTGAAGAGGTATCCCACGACTCCAGCGGCGATCTGCAGCAGGAGGACGGTCGCCAGGATCCCCAGAAACTGCAGGAAACAGCAGCACCAACACAAAGAATAAATATCTCATTAATCAAATGCAATCGGCTGATCTGTGATTCAGTTCAATTCAATTAAATTTTATTTCTAGCGCCAATTCATAACAGAAGTTATCACAGGACACTTTTCAAATGGAGCAGGTCTAGACCGAACTCGTCTGATCAATCGTACCGTCTTCAGCAGGCAGGTGGCGTTACGCAGCGCCCCGAAACACCCGAGGAACGTGATGAGAAACATCACAGAGCCAACGACGATCAACAGCAGAGCTGGATCCAGTGTCAGGGTGTCGACCACATCTGCACACACACAGTGAGTAAAAGTTTAAACATGTCTGATTAACTTTCTGGCTCGTCATCAGGAATGTTATCAGCATTGTTTTTATAAGCCCCACTGCCTCTGGGAGTGTCCTCTTAGTCTTATTGTGGGATTCTGTTTTAACTCTTGTTTATAAAAGAGATCTGATTCTCATAAGGCGGAGGTTTTGGCATCATTTTATATATTTTTACTGGATATTTTATATATTTATTGCATGTTTTTATATTGGGTTTTTATGCTTTTTAGGATTTTAATACATGCTTTTAAGTTGAAAAACGTTACAAACATAGATAGTACATGAACAGACAATACCAAAGGACAGACAGGAATAAATTAAACATAAGTTAGTTCAAAGTTAAATGAACGTAAAGTTTAGATTGCTTTCTTATTTTAACAGTATGGGAGTAATTTAATGTGTTGTTTGATTTAACTTGATGGTTTATAATTAGAACATATAGATTTATGGATGTGAATGAAAAAAGATCAAACTGATGATAAGTTACTGATTTCTTTTGGTAGAAGAAGAAGGAAAAAAGCCAAACAATACACTTTCATATAAAAGAATAAAATCATTAACAATAAACTAGGAAATTAAGTAAGTCAGTCTCCTTAAGGTCCAATATTAAAATGTCTACTGTAGAAATAAACATGTTTACAGCCTGTTGCTATCTAGAGATAATTTCCCTGTTCACGACAACTGTACAACTCACCCCTTTAAATTATATTAGGGATTAAAATATATATATATACATATATATATATAAAATGCATAATTAAAGGAGTGACGGCTTTGAGCTCCACCTCTTTGTTTGGATCAGCCAGAAGCTGGTGGAGTCAGGACGTATGTATTTTTTTTGTGCTCCGGCTGCTTTTTTACAGGGTACAATCTTTTCCTAATCAAACTGTTAGTGTTTCACCATGAGCTTTATTTTGAAAGTCTAACTAGACATTGCATATTTACTGTTGATAACTTGACAACGGAGCCGCATGTCCAGAAAGAACCCAAAACTGTATTTATAATTTGCAGGTGACAATCATCCGACAGAAATAACGGCGCCACCAACTGGAAGAAACAATGAAACGATGTTTACAGTGAAAACGTACTGAAGGACGTTATAAAGACTCTCAGGGTTCATAAAGTTCCTGCAGTGGAAAAAGGCCATTACACATATTCAGTACTGCCAATTGATATTATTTTTTGACCAACCTTTCTCCTTGGCGATCTTGGCATAGATCCCCACCGCTGTGAGAACGGCGCTCACAACCTGCAGAGTCACAGAGAAAGACGTGATGAAGCACAGAAAACATCAGACAGAAAGGAGAGCTTGTCTCTCTGGTTAGAGCTATGCTATCCCCTGCTTCCAGTCTTTGTGCTAAGCTAGGCTAAACATGTTTATTGGACTCAAGATAAGATGTAACTCTGGGTACTGACAAAATAAAACACTGTCAGTGTAGACGTGTTTGTACAGGTACAGGTGAGAAGATTCCCAGGAAATAACAGGAGAGAGCTGGAAGAACACTGCTGTCTTTCTCTCGTCTTTCTGTCAGGAAAAGAAAGGTTGTAAAACTGCTTCTGGTTAGTGTAAATGATCAGATGGTACAACCTCAAAATGATGAGATAGTAAGTCAGAATTTAAGCGGGGCCCAAATGAGCCACAGAACCGGAGAAATAAATGAACTAAATGTTCAGTCTTCTTGCTGCTGGTTCTGACTCATTCAGAATCTTTACCTCTGTTTCTGTTAGCATTAAACAGGCTGCTGTTCACATACACACATTATAATCATTAAACACATATTAATATTTGACGACTAGTCAGCTAGGAAAATCTGTAGTCGGGGCAGCCCTCACTACCTCATAATTAAGTTTCAATCACAAAATGTTGAAACAGCAGGAAAACAAAAAGGTTTTAGAACTTACCAACACTTAGGCGAACATTTGTTCTACGTTTTTCTTAAACGTAAAATGACAAAACTAAATACTTTTTTTTACTGTTAATGTCAATAATTTTACATAATGTTAGAAATGTATGAACAGTATTAGTTGAATTTAACCGTTTAATCTATTAAATAAACAATAAATATCTGTCTATCTATCATTTTAATCTTTAAATAATCAGTAATTTTATGATTATTTACAGTTACAGATTTTTCACATTATTAATATTAATATTTCCATGTAAAATGTTTTAAAAAATACAGAATCAATCTGTAAAACAAACAGGAAAAACCTGTAAACTTACAGATGATGTTTTACAGTGTACTTATGCAAATGAATCAGGGCTACTGCACAATAAACAAAGGAGAACCAACTCCTGTTGACCTTTGGTACTGAATACTGTGTGCAGGTTTACACTGTTAGACGTAAATCCTTTAAAAAACTAAAAGTTAAACTGTGTCAGTTGTTTCCTGTGAGCCGGTGGAACCAGCAGTGAAACCACATTGTAAATAAATCTGATCCTCACACAACGACTCACCCAGAAGAAGTAGCAGAAGATGAACAAAGTGTACTTGATGGTCCGGTATCCTCTCATCTCCTCTTTTTCTATGGTTCTGTCGGCCAGCGTCTGTCGAAGGTTTGTTATCTGCTCACATGGCGGCAGGGGACGTGTGTCGGCCTGCAGGACGCATTCCTGCAGTCAGGTTCATCCACTGCTGCTGCTGATGTATCCTCCTGTCAACACAGCCAGGAGGAGGAGGAAGAGGAGGAGGAGGAGGAGGAAGAGGAGGTCGCTAGAGGCAACATGAACAAACTACATCTTGATGATTTATCTCCTCAGTAGAAAACAAACAGTTTCAACAGCTGTTGCTCAAAAGTAAAAGAAGTATCCTGATGAACGTGTTGCTCCATAGATATCTCATATAGCATGTGACTGACATCAATCAGTCAACTATCAACTATCAATCAGTCAACTATCAACTATCAATCAGTCAACTATCAATTATCAATCAGTCGCTGGTTGCACAATTTCAGCAAAACTCTCAAAAACTATTCTGTCTGAGAGCGAACCGATTAACACTGAGCTGGAAGCTGGAATAACTTAACAACTTGTTTTTAGTTTGGAGGACATGTTTTTGGCTTTCATGGCCAAAATCATCTCTCTCCTCTCTCCTCCTCCTCCTCCTCCACCTCCTCCTCCTCTCTCCTCCTCCTCCTCCTCCTCCTCCTCTTCATTAAGCAGATTGCCGCTGTCAAAGGATTACACTCACTGTGTTTTACTCTCCGCTGCGGGTCGTCTCCTTTCCCACTCCTCTGTTGTTGTTGTTGTTGTTTGTGGACCCGATTGAGGACCCGATTGAGGACCATGGGCCTGATGGACATCCTCTTGTCCATCAAAGACCGAGCCGACAAGTTCCTGAACGAGAAGAACGTGGTGACGGACTTTTTGGGGAAGGTGGAGGACAAAACAGGCATCAGGAAGAAGGTCCTCGCAGCGGGTACGTTGATGCTGGTCGATAATTTCTTCTGGCTGTTATATATTTATTTGTATGTATTTATATTTATACACCGGTATATCTAACACAGTGTCCTGTTGCATGTTAATGGAAAACTGAAGAGGATTCAGTTAATCCTCCTGTGACCATAACGGCAGCCACAGTGAGCTGCTGTCTGCAAACATCAAATCTTTCTGGGTCAGCATTTTCTCTCCAGGTGAACGGGGTCGAATGTTTAGAATAATACATATCTGCATGATACCTCCCCCGTTCATTAATAACAGTAAGACTGTTATATTTGGATTATAAGTTTTCTGAAATTTTAAATATGCGAATGAGGCATTATCTAATTCCAAGTCCTATTTCATCCTTTGACCCTCATCCCTACATAGAAACACATAGAAATCAGTCCACAGGCAGCAGAGGAACAAAGCTACACTACAGCCTGTTCACTCTCTGCTCACACACACTGACACACACAGATTATACAGAGACACTAAACATATGGAAGCTTTAACTGATCCATATATGAGTTGATTAGTTGATAAACTGTCATTAAGCACTGCAGAAGAGGACACAACTAGGTGACGTAATTAAAAGAGCTCCAATCAGAGAATAGAATACAACTGAAATGAATAAAAAGTCCAAGTTTAACTTTAATGTTTTAAAAGAAGTGACAGTTGTAGCAGAGCTGTTTGTTGCAGATATGTAGAGAATAAAAACTGCTGAAAGTGGCGGTTTTATAGTTTGGTGGTTTTATGGGTAGAGTTTAGTGGTATGATGGGTAGAGTCCGGTGGAATTATGGGTAGAGTTATGTGGTATTATGGGTAGAGTCTGTGCAGTGACAGTGTGTGTGGTGTTCGGCTGTAAGCGAGCAGTGGACAGCAGTCCATTCACACGCTGCTGCTGCTCATACGGTGGATCGCTGACATGATGTCACTGTAGTGCCTGGTGCACAGTGTCCCCCACTCCCTGCAGTTAAAGCAGATTATCCCCAGAGAGACAGCAGACCGGCCTCCATGTGCGAACAGCCACATAAGCTGATCAGAGGTAGGAAACTTTTTACACAACTTCCTGTCGGTGCTCGCTGGCGTGCTCGAGTGGTGTCTGAATACGATCACAGCTCCAGTGAATTAACTCTTGTCTTTAATTCTGCGGTTTGACTGATTATTTTAACGTTAACATTGGCTGCACTGATGATCTCTAAGAGCCCAGTTTAACGTATTTTAGTATCCGGCTGAATTTCCGACAGATAGGTCGTTGTTTGACGTTCAGTTTGACGACTGCTGATTAATCACCTGATCGGTGTGGCTGTTGGATGATCAGGTGGATTTCTGGCAGTCTGGCTCCACAGGTTACACTGTCAAAAGATCTGTTATGAGCTGCAGGGAAGTTATTTTAATATTACTGGTAGTTTCTTTTACAGTCACTGTCATTTAAAACTTAGAACACGCTCTCGATATAATAGTGTGGCAGCCGTTCTCTCTTATTAAAGATACAGTTGTCTTACTAAAGGAGTTTTAACTGGTTGTGTTACAGGGTTCTCACGTGTGCTGGAAAATCAGGAAATTTAAAGACTAGGTTTTATTATTTAAAATGACTAAATATCCTGGAAATGTTTATTTATACTTCAGTCCGTCCCTCAGGCAGGAAAAGCTGAGTGTCCCAGAAACAGGATTTGGTTAAGGGGTTCAGACTGTGGTACTGGGCATCTTCCAGGTATAAATGCGGAGCTGTATGAACCTTCCCTGAATAAATACATCCATTGACCACCATTGTGAGAAAGTGCTGTCCTGTACTGTCAGGAAAAATACTGGAAAATTATTTCTTAAAAACTATGAGATAAAAAGTCTGTTATCAGAGAAACAAGCTGAGCTAACGTTAGCAGCAGCTCGGCTCGCAGCCCCTCCGGGACGTCCTTTGTCTGTCCAACAGCGTGGGAGAAGCAGTGATTATTAAGGTGGAACTGCTTTATTCAGTGTGTTTAAGGTGGAACTGCTTTATTCAGTGTGTTTAGACGTGACGTCTGTCTTCTGTGTGTCTCGTCCAGGTGCCATCTCACTGACCGGACTCTACCTGGTGTATGGATATGGTGCCTCCCTCCTCTGCAACCTAATTGGTTTCGTCTATCCAGCCTATTATTCGTGAGTATTGTTTGTGTCTGTCAGTCACAGAAACACGTCCGTCTGCTGCTCTTTAAAGTTCAGGTGAAATAAAAAATATGTCATTTGAACCCTCAGATCCTCAGTTATATTGTACCTCCATTTTTCCTTCCTTATTCCAAACGTGCTCACAAATCCCCACACTGTCCACGCCCACTGACACTGCCCACGCCCACTGGCACTGCCCACGCCCACTGGCACTGCCCACGCCCACTGACACTGCCCACGCCCACTGGCACTGTCCACGCCCACTGGCACTGCCCACGCCCACTGGCACTGCCCACGCCCACTCGCACTGTCCACGCCCACTGGCACTGCCCACGCCCACTGACACTGTCCACGCCCACTGGCACTGTCCACGCCCACTGACACTGCCCACGCCCACTGACACTGTCCACGCCCACTCGCACTGTCCACGCCCACTGGCACTGCCCACTGCACTGTCCACGCCCACTGGCACTGTCCACGCCCACTGGCACTGTCCACGCCCACTGGCACTGCCCACGCCCACTGGCACTGTCCACGCCCACTGGCACTGCCCACGCCCACTGGCACTGTCCACGCCCACTGGCACTGCCCACGCCCACTCGCACTGCCCACGCCCACTGGCACTGCCCACGCCCACTCGCACTGCCCACGCCCACTGGCACTGTCCACGCCCACTGGCACTGTCCACGCCCACTGGCACTGCCCACGCCCACTGGCACTGCCCACGCCCACTGGCACTGTCCACGCCCACTCGCACTGTCCACGCCTACTCGCTGTTACATGGAAGAATTATTACCCCCATTAAAGCTCTGCTGTCTGTTTCACTGTTTGATAGTTCTACAGCTCACCTGAGACACTCTGACAGGTAGTTTCCTCTCTGCAGAATCAAAGCAATTGAAAGTCTGAACAAAGAAGACGACACAAAATGGCTGACGTACTGGGTGGTGTACGGCGTCTTCAGCCTGGGCGAGTTCTTCTCCGATATTTTCCTCTACTGGTTCCCGTTCTACTACGCTTTTAAGGTGAGAAAACACTTCAGAACCGATGATTGTTGGTCATTATACAACCTGATATTGACACGCCCCGTACGCTTGCTAGCTAGATAGTGCACTGACAGACGGCTAACACTAGCAGAGTGGAAACGGTAGTCTGAATCTTTTTGTTTGTTAATGCTCATCTTGTGGCCCGACCGCGGCAAGGCCTGACTTAACTTGGAGCTTTAAATTTTAATCACAGACAAAAAGCCAACGAGGAACGAGCTACAGAAGCTAAAGCTAAACCCACAGATTAAATAAGGATGCTTTTACAGATTCACACACATTCAAACCAGCGATAAACTATTTAAATAATCTGTTATATTTTAAATACATTGGTCAGTTTTAAATAAAATGCTACATGCTCGCATCTTCACTTGCCTCAACCAATAGCAAATACGTGTGTGTGGTTGACCCCTAAAACAAGAAACTGCAACGTCAATAAAAGTAGTTGATGAGTCATTCAGCACTTGGGGGCGTACACTAATGCTGCGTCCAATCAAACGCTTTCTCTCTTATGGTGCGTTGCCACATTTATGCACAAATTTACTCGCAGGATAATTTGTATTTAAGGCGAATATTGGCCCTTTAATCTAACTGCAAGTCCAAAATAAACAGATTTTACTGATTTAAAGTAAATAAACGGATCAAAAGGATGCTGAAAAAACAAACAACTACAGCAGAGGTCACATGCTTTGGAGCGTCAGAAGAACCAGACTACTAGAGGATCAGGACGTACATAAAGTATAGTAGTGTTTGTCCTCTGTGGTTCCAGTGTCTCTTCCTGTTGTGGTGCATGGCTCCGATGTCGTGGAACGGCTCCCAGATCATCTACAACAAAGTGGTTCGGCCCGTCTTCCTGCGCCACGAGGCCATGGTGGACAACATGGTGAGCAACCTCGGAGGGAAGGTCATGAGCGCCGCGGAGAACCTCACCAGAGAAGGTACAAACCGGTTCAACGGCAGCCGTTACGCCCCAGTATGAAACATGTTCTGATTCTGAATCTTCTCTCCTTTGCGCTCTCCAGTCCTGACCACTCTGATGAAGAATAGATCTCTGGTGACTCAGGTGCAGCCGGTCGGTCAGTCTGAACCAAAGAGTTTACCGAGTTCGTCAGGAGAAACATCAGCAGCTAAAGTAGCTCCGTCAGAGCCGAGCGAAGACCGAGCAGTACGTACACTACACCTGTGCCCCGCTTCCAATCTTTATGCTAAGCTAAGCTTACCATGTCCTGACTCCAGCTCAGTATCATACCAGTTCTCTACCGCTGACACTTCAACCCCTCTGTGCTCATAGAAGTAGAGCCCGTAGATGTGCAGCACTTACCGGGTTCAGGTCTGTTCTAGCTGCACTTTCTGTGAGTGTTTTCAGTTGGACAGAGATTGTTAAAATATCTCAACACACTGCTGACCAGGTTGACATTACATGTATTGATCAGAGGAAGTCCACATGAAACAGGAAGCAGAGAGTTGTTTGCTTCCTCATATTTACATATTTCCCATAATAACAGGCAGTTAAAGGTCCTCTTAGCGGACTCTGCTGGACCGGGACCTCCCAGTGAACAGCCCCCGATAAAGTTGTGTTTTTGTTTGAGCGTTAGCTGTCAGTTCGCAGTTTGCTAAATAGATCGCAGACATTGCTGCTTATTTAAGAAATGTATTTGTACCATCAACTTTTACCAGTCTACTGTTAGAAGTTAGCGTTGTTACGGTGGTTTCCTGTTAGTCGATGGGGCTTATTTGGATTTCAGAGTTCATCAAAGTTCAACATCAACACAAAAAATGTACTTTGCACTGGTTTTAAGTTTCTCTGGTTGTTGCAGTTTGATTCATAGATAAATCTGCATATTCAGTAATGACCTGTAAACATGCTAACAGTTGTCCTGTTACCTGTTCCAGCCTTTCCTGGGTTAACCAGTATGGTAAGTCTGCTGGTGTTGGTGTTGGTGTTTTACAGACAGTGAATGTGGTGTGAACAGGAATAGCACAAACCTCAGTGACCCCTGTAGAACCTCAGCAGTGCTCGGCTGCAGATGGACTGGATCCTCCATGAAGACCTGAACAGACCTGAAAAAGCTTCTCCCAACCTGCAGCTCCTAGTAGACGAATAGTAACATCATTGCTGAGAGAAATCCCCTCCGACTGCTGTTTCTATAAATCTGTCAGTTTATAAGAACTGTTTTGTATATAGTGAAGAACAGGAGACCCAGTGTGGACTCTGCTGTTAGCTAACTAGCTAATAAATGAAGCTTCGCTCTCTGTCACTAAGAGTTGAAGATTGATGGGTGGGTGAATGTTATTATATTATTGGTTGAAAACAGAATTATTTGGACCATTACTTAACTGTGCAAACAGACGACGGTGATTCCGTCCTTCATTTATTGTTGTCCTGTTAGCATCTTGGTGACGCTAACAGGCCTTCACACTGTTAGTCAAAGATAAAAATACTGGTCCTGGGAGCCGTGCTGCCTCACATGTGCAGCCCCCACACTTTCATACAATTTATTACACTGTCATACAATTTATTACACTTTCATACAATTTATTACACTGTCATACAATTTATTACACTGTCATACAATTTATTACACTTTCATACATATTTATTACAATTTATTACAATTTATTACACTTTCATACAATTTATTACACTTTCATACAATTTATTACAATTTATTACACTTTCATACAATTTATTACACTTTCATACAATTTATTACACTTTCATACAATTTATTACACTTTCATACATATTTATTACAATTTATTACACTTTCATACAATTTATTACAATTTATTACAATTTATTACACTTTCATACAATTTATTACACTTTCATACAATTTATTACAATTTATTACACTTTCATACAATTTATTACACTTTCATACAATTTATTACAATTTATTACAATTTATTACAAGTAAAATTATTACACTTTCATACAATTTATTTAACAATTTCATACAATTTATTACACTTTCATACATATTTATTACAATTTATTACACTTTCATACAATTTATTACACTTTCATACATATTTATTACAATTTATTACACTTTCATACAATTTATTACACTTTCATACATATTTATTACAATTTATTACACTTTATTACACTTTCATACAATTTATTACACTTTCATACAATTTATTACACTTTATTACACTTTCATACAATTTATTACACTTTCATACAATTTATTACAATTTATTACACTTTCATACAATTTATTACACTTTCATACAATTTATTACACTTTCATACATATTTATTACAATTTATTACACTTTCATACAATTTATTACACTTTCATACAATTTATTACACTTTCATACATATTTATTACACTTTCATACATATTTATTACACTTTATTACACTTTCATACATATTTATTACACTTTCATACATATTTATTACACTTTATTACACTTTCATACATATTTATTACAATTTATTACACTTTCATACAATTTATTACACTTTCATACAATTTATTACACTTTCATGCATATTTATGTGAATAATGTCCTAGTGAGGATCGGTGTTTCCACTGACGTTAAATAACTCACAGACATTCAGCTTCCTCTGTAGTTGACTGAGATGTGCTGTTGTTGTGATGTGATTATAAACTTAAAGGAAGGTAGTATAGTTAGAGTAAAGCTGTGAAGGAGTTTTACTTGTGTTTAATTGTTGGCTGTGTGTCTGTTGTTATGTCTGTACGTCAGGATGAGCTCAGTGTAGACTGACGGTAAGTCACAGACAGAGGATGTAATTTACTATCACATAAAGCACAGCTTGTTGTGTTGAACCTTTGACTCTCCGTATTTTGCTATAAGAAATAAAACGTACCGACGAGAATGTCGTATGTAGATACAGCACTGCTTTGACTAACGTCAGCATGCTAACATGCTAATGCTGATTTTTACCTGGTATAATGTTCACTTCTTAATTTGCAGCTGGAATATTAATTGATTTATAAAGATATTCATTTATTTATTCGTTTTGGCAGCTTTGGTCTTCCATACAAAGATTTCCAAGGCAGTTCCCTGTGTGAGTTGGAGCTAATTACAGAGAAAATGTTAAATAATCTCCATTTAAACTAAAGTAAATATACATTCATTCTTATTATTGGACATTTTATGATATTTGTTGAATAAATTTCACTCTTTTACTTTTTCAGCGGACTGCTTTGCACTAAAATACTAATAATTAGACTTCTTATAAGGATACATCTTGTTTCAGTCCTACAGATAGCCGCAGAGGAGGAGGAGGAGCCTCAGTGAGGAAGAGGAGGAGCCTCAGTGAGGAAGAGGAGCAGAGAGCGAAGGTTTTCCTCTTCGTCCTTACAGCGAGCAGAAGACTTCCTGTCAAAGACACTGATTTCCTTTATACATCAGCCTGTATTAAATATAAAACTCTGATTTTACCTTTTATTTATTTATATTTATGAATTATTTTGGGCGTCTGAGGGATTTCTTTTGGGATGCAAAGCACCTGAAACTGGATAATAACAAACTCACAGATTCTCCAGCAGGTTCACCTGTGGACCAGCGCCACCTAGAGGAACGGGCAGTAACAGCAACGTGTCAGTGTCGCCTCCTGCAGGCAGTGAGTGGTACAGCTGCACTTTCTCTCTTTTATGTGTTTTAGGTTTTCTATGTAACATCTGCAGCAGCAGCTGGTTCTCGGTGTGTCCTCCTGTTTGTGTTGCTCTTATTTATCTTATATATGTTTCTGATGTGTTTATAAACATAAATGAGATTATGACCTTTATGATAAGAAATAAAAAGTACTCATGACAATGAAACTAAATGCTCGACTGTTCTGTTGAATGTAGATACTGCCGCGCTTTGAGCCACTGTTTGTCACCCGTTAGCTCTCGCTGAGGCATTTTATACATACAGTTTATATATGTAAGTTTATAAGTTTATATGTAACACTGCCATTCATTGTTTTATTGTCTGGTGTCATTACGGCTTCAGTGAATTCCTTTCTATACAATAAATAAATACAGTATTTACATATTTAAACATATATTTTCATTTAATATCAGTTTTTCACTATAATTATAAATGTTACCGTTGTTGATATTATTTATGTAGCCATACATAATATACAATGTAATATATAGTCAATACATCCCCACCTATCCAACATCTGTGTTTGGACAATATGGCTTTCTATTATTTAATATAATTATGTTTTTATAAAATATGTACATCTGTGAACCAAAATATAGATAAATTAATATTTCTAATATATTTCCAAATTCATGTAAATACTGAAACATCTACTGACATATGTAGGCTATTATATCATGCACTATGCATTATGTAATAGAAATAATAACGTTAAAATATGTATATTATATATAACAATATATAAAAATAGAAAATAAAACAGTATTTCACAGGAATCAGAGTAAAGTGTGATATTATATGTTTCAGTATGAAAGTTTATACTATTATATTGAACATTCGTACGAAGTAATAGTATATAATTTGTGTCCATATCTCTTCATATTAAATATTAAAAGGTTCTGAGGTTGATTGAAGATCATTACAGCAATAACAACTATTGTTAGTACGACTTCATCCAAAGTGAAGGTTTGAATATGTTTGATTCTTTAATCAGGCACAAACCAACTTATCATGTCTTTATTTTAAAATCATCAAATTAAGTACAGAAGTGAAAACTGTGGTCCTCTCCGTATTCTCTCTTTTAATATCTGCACTTTACAAACGAACTGCTATAAAGTCAAAGGAAGTCAGTTTGTTGTTTTTACTTCTCTTTGGTTTAATTTACAAAACAAATAACTCATATTAATGAAAACTGACATTAATCATTTTTAACTATCACAAATTCTCTGTAGATGAAATGAATTAACATTTTACTTAAATATTATATTGACAAAATGAGTTAGCTTCCTTTTACACATTTATACATTTTAAAACCTTTTTGTTTTTCTTATATTATGTTTTAATTTGAGTTTAATTATATGAAATATACTGTTTATATTCAAATGTTTATAACGAACTGTTTTGTGTATTTTCTTAATAAAGTTAATTCAAATTTAAAAAAAGAATCCACTGAGTCTACGGATGACGTTCCATGAAGGCGTGGCCTCCGTGCGTCAACTGTCACGCACTGACGTGGCCGGTAACGCGTTGACGTGCCCTGCAGTACGTCAGTCTTCCGCAGCTCTGCTCCGGTTCGTTTCCAGCAGCGTCCGGTTCTTTCGGTCCGGTTTATGTGTTCGGGACCGGGTCTGGAGGTCCGGAGAGACTCGGCTGGTTTTCCTGAGGAGGACTGAACGCTGGTGAGCAGCTGTGATGGATCCTGGCTCCTTCACACTAACTGCCGAACTCCGTCTAACAGTTAATGAAGTGAAACTGTAACTGCGTCTATGCAAATATAAAACGTTGTTAAGTTCTTACCGAAGCTGTTTTAGGAACATTAAGACCTTTTTGTTAAATTCGGCCCAGAAATATTTCACCGGGCTGATACAGATTTCCACCAGCAGACCCGGTTAGCTAACGTTAGCTAGTTAGCACTGCTGTCCCGGACGGTACCGGAGAGAAACCGGTAACTAGAACACTGAAGTTCTACAAGTTATTGAAACCACTGACAGTTTGTTATATGTTTAAACCGGTATTTCAGTTCAGTCAGTGCTGTCTGTAAACATTCAGTCTGGGACGGTGTTTATTTGTACAGTGAATGCATCATAAATAATAATAATAATAATAATAAATCAATATAATACAGTAAACCTCATGTACTCATTCAACAGAACCAGCTGGTCCACAATGAACATTGGTTCTAAAAACAAGAAGCGGGTGGTTCTGCCGAGCCGTCCTGAACCCCCGACTGTGGACCAGATCCTGGAGGACATCAACAGAGCCGCTCCCAACGACCCGGTCTTCAGCATCCTGGAGCGGACCGGACAAGGTTGTGCTTTAGTTTACTGACTGTTTGTTCGTCCTGTAGTTTACTGACTGTTGTCCTGTAGTTTACTGACTGTTTGTTCGTCCTGTAGTTTACTGACTGTTCGTCCTGTAGTTTACTGACTGTTTGTTCGTCCTGTAGTTTACAGACTGTTCGTCCTCTAGTTTACTGACTGTTTGTTCGTCCTGTAGTTTACTGACTGTTTGTTCGTCCTGTAGTTTACTGACTGTTGTCCTGTAGTTTACTGACTGTTCGTCCTGTAGTTTACTGACTGTTCGTCCTCTAGTTTACTGACTGTTTATTCGTCCTGTAGTTTACTGACTGTTCGTCCTGTAGTTTACTGACTGTTCGTCCTCTAGTTTACTGACTGTTTGTTCGTCCTGTAGTTTACTGACTGTTCGTCCTCTAGTTTACTGACTGTTTGTCCTGTAGTTCCCTGGTTGCCTTATTTACAGACTGTTTGTCCTGTAATTTACTGACTGTTCGTCCTGTAGTTAACAGACTGTTCGTCCTGTAGTTAACAGACTGTTTTCCTGTAGTTTATTGACTGTTCGTCCTGTAGTTTACTGACTGTTCGTCCTGTAGTTTACTGACTGTTTGTTCGTCCTGTTGTTTACAGACTGTTCGTCGTCTAGTTTACTGACTGTTGTCCTGTAGTTTACAGACTGTTCGTCCTGTAGTGTACAGACTGTTCTTCCTGTAGTTTACTGACTGTTGTCCTGTAGTTTACTGACTGTTCGTCCTCTAGTTTACTGACTGTTGTCCTGTAGTTTACCGACTGTTCGTCCTTTAGTTTACTGACTGTTGTCCTGTAGTTTACAGACTGTTTGTCCTGTAGTTACTGACTGTTAGTCCTATAGTTTACTGACCGTTGTCCTGTAGTTTACTGACTGTTCGTCCTGTAGTTTACTGACTGTTCATCCTGTAGTTTACTGACTGTTGTCCTGTAGTTTACCGACTGGTTGTCCTGTAGTTTACCGACTGGTTGTCCTGTAGTTAACTGACTGTTTGTTTGTCCTGTAGTTTACTGACTGTTCGTCCTCTAGTTTACTGACTGTTGTCCTGTAGTTTACCGACTGGTTGTCCTGTAGTTTACTGACTGTTTTCCTGTAATTTACTGACTGTTCGTCCTGTAGTTAACTGACTGTTCGTCCTCTAGTTTACTGACTGTTGTCCTGTAGTTTACCGACTGTTCGTCCTGTAGTTTACTGACTGTTCGTCCTGTAGTTTACTGACTGTTGTCCTGTAGTTTACAGACTGTTTGTCCTGTAGTTTACTGACTGTTTGTCCTGTAGTTTACTGACTGTTCGTCCTGTAGTTTACAGACTGTTTGTCCTGTAGTTTACTGACTGTTCATCCTGTAGTTTACTGACTGTTGTCCTGTAGTTTACAGACTGTTTGTCCTGTAGTTTACAGACTGTTGTCCTGTAGTTTACTGACTGTTTGTCCTGTAGTTTACAGACTGTTTGTCCTGTAGTTTACTGACTGTTGATCCTGTAGTTTACAGACTGTTTGTCCTGTAGTTTACAGACTGTTTGTCCTGTAGTTTACAGACTGTTTGTCCTGTAGTTTACTGACTGTTTGTCCTGTAGTTTACTTACTGGTTCTCGTCCTCAGACGCGCCCCGGCCCTCAGACAGCGATGCGGAGCTGAGGTTCCAGCAGTGCCGTCGGTATCTGGAGCTGAACGAGCGGCTGCAGGAGGTCAGAGGTCAGTTGCTGCGGCAGAGGGAGGAGCTGCGAGCTGCGGGAGAGCAGCTGGAGAAAGACGTGGCGGAGGTCAAAGGTCAAACACTCTGACTCTGCTCCTCTCTGTTAGAGACTCTCTTCCTCTCGTCCTCAGAGGGCCAACTGGCTCCACCGAATCTGCCAAAGTGCCCTTGAGCCAGACACTGGTGGAGCTTCAGGAGCCCCAGTGATGGCTGACCTCTGACCTCTGACCTCTGTTGGGTTAGTGTGAGCGATAAGTGAACACAGCTGATTACAGGCTGATACAATGTTACATCATCTACTGATCAGTGACTTCATCAATATACAGAATATAAAGGGCCAATGAGCCGAGAGCTTTATGTGACCAACGCAGTGATTGCTGTCCACTATCAGCTGTAGAGTCACTGATTGATCGGCTGCTGTTGCTCATCAGATCAGATGAAAGTTTAAGACGTGTTCAGACTTAACGTGAACTCAGTTTAAATCCTCAAATCAAATCCTAAAGATTCCACATTGTCCCAGTTTTCCCTTCTTGAACATGTGGTGCAGGCAGGATGGCGCTATCTGCTGGACAACACGTGGTTCTGCGTTTTTATTGAAGGATTAAAGTCCCCATCAGAGCACTGAAGCAGGTTTTACCTGCAGTGTTTGTCCCTTCTGTTCACCCTGGGCAGGATCATGTTGAGAAATGTTGAGCAGTGTTTCCTAGAGCCTGAGCCGACATCCTCAAATGTTTTATTTAGTCCACAACCCAAAGATATTCAGATTACTCTCACAGAGGAACAAAGAAACCAGAAAATATTCACATTGGAGAAGCTGAAATCAAAGAATTTGGACATTTTTCTTTAAATAATGACACTAACCAACGAATCAATTATCAAAATAGTTGGTGATTAATTTATACTATAGAGACACTGTATGTCTCTTTTATTCTCTAACCATCTTCAGAATGTGATTGTCTTTTCAACATAGATTAGCCTAGCATATAGCATATCTAAGTACAGGAAAGGAGGAAGTTGATCAAGGCTTGCTCAACTGTGATTGGGGCACAGAGTAAAAAGCGGCAGTGCTTAGGAAGCTAGCATCGATAGATTTTTATTATATATAACTTTCTTTGTGTCTCCTGTAAAACTGTCTTCATGTTGAGTCTGAACGACCTTTCTTTGTGTCTGTGAATGTTTCACAACAGAACCAAATAAAAAGCTCTATGTGGA